TTGATTGAGTGGTGACAGCCAGGGTCTTAATCTTACAATTCCCTAGCTGGCTGTGTGGTGCATGCCTGTAGTCCCAGCTTTCAGGATGCCGAGGCAGGAAGGTCCCATGAGCTGATGTTGAAGCGGCAGAGCACTATGACCATGCCAGTGCACTCCAACCTGGGTGGCAGAGCCAGATCTGTGTCTCAAAAACAATTCCCTGCACCCCACGTTCATTTCCCACGTCTGAATTTACCTTAAAATAACAAGGTAAAAAAAAATGGACTGTGTACTTACTTACTCCCCATTAGGAACTCTTCTAAATGCTTTGCACATATTAATGTACTCCTTCCTCCCAGTAACTGTGAGATGTGGTTCTCATTTTGATTATACAAATGAGGAGACCAAGATAGAAACTAAGTTATAACAAATGCATGAAATTTGAAAGTCAGATTTGTGGGTGAGCAAAGAGAGGACGGGGGGCTCAGCACCATTGTACAGAAACCAGAGAGAGGACGGGGGACTGGGCACCGTCGTACAGAAACCAAAAGTGTGCCTGCACTCTCTACACCAGCCACATACTAGGGAAACCCACTGAGTGCAAGAGAAGGCATGTGTAGGATGTTCACTGCCCAACGATGGCAACAAATAAAAGCTGGAAACCACCTGAAAGGGACAAAATAAATAAATGTAGCATAGTCATGAGGGGAAATGATACTGCAGTTAAAATGAACCAAACAGTTCTATAAATATCAAATGGATGTCTCTAAAAAGTCAAAAACGCAAGCTTTAAATGAATCATAATGTATGATACCATTTATTTAAAGTTTCAAAAAATAAAAATATTTGTTTTTCCATACCATTTGTAGATACAGGTCTGTAAGGAGTTACTATAGTCACGTCCTACAGAACATCACAGTCAATGACAAAATGCACATGGTGGTCCCAAAGGGTTATAATGGAGCTGACAACTCCCCACCACCTGGTGATGTCAAGGCTGCTGTAATGTCACAGTGCGATTCTTTAATTTTGGACACTCAGCGTGCCCTCAGCACAGTGCTGATGAAGTCTACTGCAGTGTCCAGTAACGACTCATGCCTTCACCTTCACTCACTGACTCACCCAAGCACCTTCCAGTCCAATAAACTACAATTAGGATAAGTGTTCTATACGATTAGGGTAAGTGTTCTATACGATTAGGGTAAGTGTTCTATACGATTAGGGTAAGTGTTCTATACGATTAGGGTAAGTGTTCTATACGATTAGGGTAAGTGTTCTATACAAGGGCGCCATTTTACATCTTTCTATACCACATTGTTACTGTATTTTTTTCTGTTTAGACACAGATATTTACCACAGTGTTAGACTTGCCTGTTTAGTTAAGTGTGCTGGTTTGCAGCCAAGAACAGACTCCACATCCCCCAGGTCTGCAGGGGCTCTACCGTGCAGGTGTGTGTAAGTGTACCCTACAACATTCAGACAATGATGAAATCACCGGTGTTCCTGTTAAATGACATGTGCCTGTATGCTGGAAAGAAGTAACACCAAAGCTGTGATAGTAATAGCCTCTCAGGAGGGAGAAGAGAATGTGAGAGTGGAGTGGAGGGGAAGTGTCAAGGCTACTTCAACATTACCTGTATTATTTATTTTTTTCTTTTCTTTTTTTGAGACAGAGTCTTGCTCTGTTGTCCAGGCTGAGTGCAGTGGTGTGATCTCGGTTCACTGTGACCTCCACCTCCTGGTTTCAAGTGATTTTCCTCCTTTAGCAGAGCCAGGAGAATCACACCTCACTAGATTCATGCACCACCATGCCCAGCTAATTTTTTGTATTTTTAGTAGAGACAGGGTTTCACCATGTTGGCCAGGCTGATCTGAAACTCCCGACCTCAGGTGATCCACCTGCCTCAGTCTTCCAAAGTGCTGGGATGACAGGTACGAGCCACGACATTCAGCCTTTTATTGTATTTTTTTCTGACCAGGGCCTCTGTCACCCAGGCTGGAGTGCGGTGGCCCAATCTCAGCTCACTGTAGCCTTGAACTCCTGGCTCAAGTGATCCTTCAGAGTAGTTAAGACCACAGGCACAGGCCACCATGCCTCGCTATTTTTTATTTTTTGAGGCAGGGTCTCACTCTGTCTCCCACACTGCAGTGCAGTGGCATGGTCACAGCTCATTGTAGCCTCAAACTCCTGGGCTCAAGTGACCCTCCCACCTCAACCTCCTAAATAGCTGGGACTAAAATTAGCCAAGTACATGTCACCACACCTGGCTAATTTTTTATTTTTTATGAAGACGGAGTTTTGCCAAGATGCTCAGACTGGTCTTGAACTCCTGAGTGCAAGCGATCCACCGACCTCAGCCTCCCGAGTAGCTGGACTACAGGCACCCACCACCATGCCTGACTAATTTTGTATTTTTAGTAGAGATGGGGTCTCACCATGTTGCCCAAGTTGGTCTCAAACTCCTGGGCTCAAGTGATCCACCTGCCTCAGCCTCCCAAAGTGCTGGGATTATAGGTGTGCGACACCGCACCTAGTCTCTTATTTATTTTAAAAAGTCCAATGCTGGTTGGGCACGGTGGCTCATGCCTATAATCTCAGCACTTTGGGAGGCCAAGGCAGGTGTATCACCTGAGGTCAGGAGTTGGAGACCAGCCTGGCCAACATTGTGAAACCCTGTCTCCACTAAAACCATAAAAATTAACCAGGTGTGGTGGCACATGCCTATAATCCCAGCTACTCAGGAGGCTGAGGCAGGAGAATCCCTTGAACCCAGAGGGTGAAGGCTGCAGTGAGCTAAGATTGTGCCATTACACTCTAGCCTGGGCAACAAAAGCAAAACTCTGTCTCAAAAAAAAAAAAAAAACAGTCCAACAAAAATCCAAGAGAACTTATCAGTCCCAAGTGGTGGCAAGGTGGGCGTCTGGAAGACTCTTCAGAAGCCTTCAGATTAGGCCTGATGCTGACATGGCAAGTGGCACCATGGAGAGGGAATGGGACGAGGGCTAAGGACAGCTCGGAGCCCTCTGAGCCTCATAGCTTTGGGCCAGTCAATCAGTTCTTTTATTCCTGTTTCCTTCTCCGTTAAATGGTGTGACTGCAAGGCCTACCTACCGGTTTGCTGCACAGATGAATGAACACACGTGAAACTCCTGGAGCAGTGCCTGGCCCAAAGGAAGCACCACAGGGATGTGTCAGATCTCTCATCAAAGGGATCAAGGGTTTGAGACCAGCCTGGGCAACATGCTGAAACCCTGTCTCTACAAAAAATACCAAAATTAGCTGGGCATGGCAGTACACGCATGTAGTATCAGCTATCAGAGAGGCTGAAGTGGGAGGATGGCTTGAAGTAGGGAGGCAGAGATTGCAGTGAGCTGAGATTGTGCCACTGTACTCCAGCCCGGGTGACAGGGCAGCAAGACCCTGCTTAAAAAAAACAAAAACAAAAACCCCCACAAAGTAAGACATCCAAAGAACTAGGAGTGCTACCTGGCCAGCCTGAACTATTGGCTAAAAAGAAAATTACCTACTAGAAAGCCTGGTAAATATTTCTTCTCAGAGAAAAGTAAAAAGGAGCAAAAATAAAGCTATGCGCTTATGGAAATGGAGACATCATGGTAATAGCTGTGGATATTCGAACATGGAAGAGGTGCTGCCATGAAACGTGTTATCTATAATGATGTGGAAGTGACTCTTTCTTGTCTTCACACTGACTTGGACTTTCAAAAAGTTACTTTTTAAGTAATATTTCCTTATCAGAGATCCACTCTGAAGTATTCATAGTTGGAAAAACCCAGTACCTTCTGAAATTTGCTTTAAAATATCCAGGAAGGGAAAAAGCGGGGCGGGGGAACAAGCAAAATGATAATAGACTGTGGGCAGTGATTATGCTAGGCTCTCTCATCTGGGGCAGGTTTCAAAATTTCCATTAAAGTAAATTTAAAAGTTGAATTCTAGAGAATAAAACTGACAACAGGGCCGGGTGCGGTGGCTCACGCCTGTGATCCCAGCACTTTGGGAGGCCAGAGCGGGTGAATCACTTGAGCTCAGGAGTGTGCGACCAGCCTGGGCAACACAGCAAAACCGCACCTCTACTAAAAATACAGAAATTAGCTGGGTGTGGTAGTCCAGCTACCTGGGGGACTGAGGCAGGAGGATCAATTGCGCCCAGGAAGTCCAGGCTGCACTCCAGCCTGGGTGACAAAGTAAGACCCTGTCTCAAAAAAACAAACAAAACTGACAATAGGTTGGGGACCTATTCTCTTTCACATAAGCCTCGCTCTGTTGCCCAGGCTGGAGTACAGTGGCTGAATTTTGGCTTACTGCAACCTCAGCCTCCTGGGTTCAACTGATTCTCCTACCTTAGCCTCCTGAGTCGCTAGGACCACAGGTGCCTGCCACCATGCCCAGCTGATTTTTGTACTTTTTTTTTTTGAGACGAAGTCTCACTCTGTCACCAGGCTGGAGTGCAGTGGTGTGATCTGCAACCTCCACTTCCTGGATTGAAGCGATTCTCCTGCCTCAGCCTCCCGAGCAGCTGGGACTACAGGAACACACTACCATACCCAGCTGGCTTTTATACTTATAATAGAGACAGGGTTTCACCATGTAGGCCAGGATGGTCGCCATCTCTTGACCTCGTGATCCGCCCGCCTCGGCCTCCCAAAGTGTTGGAATTACAGGCATGAGCCACTGTGCTTGGCCGATTTTTTGTACTTTTAATGGAGATGGAGTTTCGTCATGTTGACCAGACTGGTCTCCAACTCCAGACCTCAGGTGATTCCCCCCCGGGCCTCCCAAAGTGCTGAGATTACAGGCGTGAGCCACCTTGATTAGCCTCCTTCCATGCATCCTGCTCTTATCCCAGAAGAAAGAGGCACATGCCTAAACAAGGATACTGCTTTCACAGCCCGCCTGCCCCAGGAAGCTGGGACCAACTGCAAAGGGAGGGCCGATCCTGACCTGACCCTGTATGTGCACCCCGTACGCCTCGAGGTTGCCATCTGACAGCAAAGGGCTTTACCTGCAGTTCTCCTTGAAGCGACACTTTCCCTCCAGGAAGAACGGGCAGGGCTTCAGGGACTTGTGAGTGGGGTACAGGTAGAGCACACGGACACCCGCCGAGCCATCCTCCGCCTCTTCTGTGCCCACCACCATGGCGTTGTGATACTCCAGGGTGCCCCACGAGCTGTAGTAAGGCGCGCTCACCTTGGTCCCACTCAGCTCTTCCTCCTCTCCCTCTTCCTGCCCACCTGCCTCAGATTCTGGCCCCGCCTCTGCTTTAGGAACTGTCTCTGATCCGGCCCCAGGGGCCGCCTCGGCGATGACCTCCCGGAAAGCCTGGTACTCAGCATCTTCCTGGCCCAGGCGCTCTCCGTCCAGCGCGGCCAGCAGCTTGCTCTTCCTCACGGACACCAGGCTGGCCTCGGTGAGCTCGATGAGCTCCTTCAGGTCCCCCTGTAGCTGGCGCAGGTCGGCCTGCTCGGACGAATCCAGGCCGGCGCCCAGGGCCAGCTCCACCTGCTGCAGCTGCGCACGGTAGGTCTGCAGGGCAGCCTCCAGGCTGTCCTCATCCATGTTGAGAGAGGGAGGCGCTGGACCGGAGCTGCGAGAAGAGGGGCCTGGTGAGCCCCGCGTCTCGGGACCGACACGGAGCGAGGGTCTCGCAGCCGCCACCACAGCCTGCGGCGGGCACGGGCACGTCCCCTTTCCCTCGCGGAGACACCGGTTCAGAGCGATAGCTCCCGGCGCGGAGGTCGCAGCCCGGTACCCCCGCTCGGGCTCCGCACTTCCCTTCCGAGCCGCCCCGGGCTCGCTGCTAGCCGGGTTCCGCGTCACCCCCTCCCCGCAGGGCGACCCCGCGCGGCCCTCCGCCGAGCGCACCCGCCGCGCCCGCAGCCTTGCAGGCTGGTCCCGACCCCCGCCCGGCCTCTCTTCCGTCCGGCCAGGGCCGCGCACCTCCTCAGCGCGGTTTCCCAGCCGCCTCCATAGAGAGCCCGCCGGCCTCACCGGCTAAAGCAGGCCGGAGCCCCGCTTTCGCCCTCGCAGCCTACCGGCACTTCCTCCCGCCGCAGCCGCCTCCGGAAGTGCCTGGCGCGCGGTGGCAGCCGGGAAGCGGAGCGCAGAGGCCGCCGGGACGCGATTAAGCTTCTGCCCCACGGCCCGCGTCCCGTCAGGCCCCGCGCGGGGTCGGTGCCGGGTCAGCAGCGGCGGCTTAGAGGCCGCGGCGGACGCAGGTAGGTCGGAGGCTGTGCGGCCGGGCCCGAGGCCCGAGAGGCGGCCCTGGACTCGAGGTTGGGACGCGGGTGTGACAGGAACCAGCTTTAGCAGCTTGTCGGCGAGCCTCGAACCTGGCGGCCGCGACTGGCAGCCGCCGGGAGCCCGGGGGCCCGAGCGCAGTTCCTCCTCCGCGGGAGTCCGTCCCCGCCCGCCGCGCGCTGCCTGCGGGTCCGCTCTCCACAGGCCGTCCCCGTTTTAAGAAACGGGGTGATGGGGCGCCTGCAGGGGCTCCTGGCTGTTACTGGGTGGGGCTCGCGGCCGAACACCCGAGGGCGCTGTGCCCAGGCGGGGCTGCAGCAAGTGCGTTCCCCGTTCCGCGCGCGTGAAGCGTGGGAGCGACGCGGGGGGGAGGGCGGGGGCGCAACCGAGCTCACTGTGAACACTGGCGGGGTGGTCCCGCGGGCAGGGAGGCCCCGGGGCAGGAGTGGCGGAGGGTGGCTGATCTGGGAGAAGTTACGGAGGCCGAAGAGTCACAAAGGGATGGGGTGGAAGAGAGATGAGGAGTCGGGAATGGCCCCAGGTTCTAGTCCTGAGCGGTCAGCTGGACGTGGAGCACCACTGACCACCGTGGAGAAACTCGGGGGGCGGGTGCGTTCTTGCTGTACAGTGACATCTGTCGGGGTGTCCAGGGCAGGATGTACACGCTGCTGTCCGGCCTGTACAAGTACATGTTTCAGAAGGACGAGTACTGCATCCTGATCCTGGGCCTGGACAATGCTGGGAAGACGGTGAGTGCCCCTCCCTTGCCTGAGCCCCTCCCCACGACCTGGTGTCAGCTGCATGCTCACCACCCAGACAGAATCCAGACTTCTGAGAAGACAGGGTAGTCACCGCCAGCTTCTTGAAGAGCAGAACGTTGCTTTGTTTCTGTTTTTTGTCTTTTAAGGAGCAGGCCTGAGTAACGATATTTGGGAAAAAGACTTGGGAAACACTGTAGTCCCTATTTGATGTGTCTGCCTCCCTCTCTCCTCAGACCTTCCTGGAGCAGTCGAAAACCCGGTTTAACAAGAACTACAAGGGGATGAGTCTATCCAAAATCACCACCACCGTGGGTCTCAACAGTAAGGGGTCTGAATAGCAGGGCTGTGGGTTTGGGACCTTGAGGATGCTGTGATGTTCACCCGTGTCACCCAGAGCAGGGCTCTGACTGGGAGTTGGCCTCATCCTGGGCTGGACCCTGGGTCAGCGTCCATATGTGTGGGTCCTTTGCTATAATGCCTGTCTCTCAGGCTGGCTGGCACTTTGCAGTTGGGGAGCTCCCATTGCGGCTGGGGAGACAAACTCAGCCCATCTCAAGTCCCCTCTGAGTGGTCCCAGAGTGGTTGCTCCATCCCCCAAGAGAGCTGGGACTTGGTGTGTCAGGGACCAAGGTTTCGAGCCCTGCCTGTTCCCCCATCTCCCCAGTCGGCACTGTGGATGTGGGAAAGGCTCGCCTCATGTTTTGGGACTTAGGAGGCCAGGAAGAGCTGCAGTCTTTGTGGGACAAGGTAAGACTCCCTGTCCAGCACCACCCCCAACCCCACCCCCACCCCAGCCCTCCAGTCCATTTATTTCCAGAGTGCACCCTTTGGTCTCTTCCTCAGCACCTTTCATCACCCACTTTGTGGATAATGTGGTTTGTTACTCATTGTGTCAGCTGAGCATGTGAAAATTGGGCATTTCTGAGATCCCAGTGTGGTGTCCCTCCTCCACACCCCAGGCTGCAGTTTATCTCCTCCTCAGTCTGGGCTGAGCACTGACTCCAGCGCTGAGCAGGACAGAGCCTTGCCTTCCTCAGGGGCTCCCTGCCTGAGGCTGGCACAGCGGGCTTGGGGCACCCAGTGCCTTGGCTGCCCTAATGCTTGCTGGCTGCCATCTCTAGAGCTAAGTGCCCAGGTCCTGATCTCCTTTTTGATCCCAGTCCCCCTTTCCTAGGCTCCACCAAAGTGTCCCCTTCTGCCCTGACTTCTAGCCAAGAGGGCATTTCTCCCATGGCCAAGTGACCTTTGATAGATCCTCTAGGGCCACGTAAGTCAAGACAGGACAAACTGAGTCATAGCCTGCGTGTCCAGTGCCCAGCGCGCTTTGGGGGGGGTGACACGGGTGAGAATGCTCTTGCCACAGGCTTGTGTCTCAGGCACAGACACCAAGATAGAGGTTGAGGTACAGGATGCACTTTGGCGATTGACACCAGGAAGGTGGTGGGGACAAGGAGAGGTCCACTCAGGCGGCAGGATCTGTAGAGCTATGGTTGCCCCAGCAGGGAGACCTGGAGGCAAGCTGGCTGTTCTGTGCCATGTGGGGCCATGGCTGGGACTTCATACCACAGCCTGTGGGCTGCCCTGGGCAGGTGTGACCCGGCAACATGGCTCTTTGCAGTCAAAGTGGGTCCCACAGAAACCTGAAACGAGGCCATCTGCAGGTGCAGTGTTTCCAGCATGAAGCAAGACCACAGTGGGGCCGTGGATGTCGGCACTGGCCGCAGCCGCAGCCCTGCGTGGAACACCTTCCACACTGGGGAGTGGTTCCTCTAAGGTCCCGAGGGCCTCTCTGAGGGGAAGCTGGAGGAGGGAGGCTTACAGGGGCCACTACAGCCCACCCTTGCAGCTGGTCTCAGGGCTGCTTTCTTCCTTGGGTGCACTTCTGCTTGGGTGTGACCTCCTGGCAGTCTGAGTCCTCCAGACACCATCTCTGTGGGGCCAGTGGCTCCCTAGGTCCCCAGCTGTGGGATGGCAGCCCAGTTTCCTGCCCGCCAGGGTCCCCTAGACACGAGGTGCTGTTCATGCCCCTGAGGCAGCTGTGGTTTGTTCTTCAGCATGTCCGTTGAGCACATACTGCTCTAGTGGTCGGGACCCCTGACCCTGCTGAGCTCAGAGCCAGGAGGGTCTGCCCCAGAGACCTCCATGGGTCACTGGGAGAGGCCAGAAGGGAGGCTCCTGCTTCCACCTGGTTCCTGTACATTGCATCCTTGTGCAGGCGCAGCATTGCCAGCATGAAGCAAGCACAGAAAGGGCTCTGACTGGGAGTTGGCCTCATCCTGGGGCTAGACCCTGGGTCAGCGTCCATATGTGTGGGTCCTTTGCTATAATGCTTATCTCTCAGGCTGGCTGGCACTTTGCAGTTGGGGAGCTCCCATTGCGGCTGGGGAGACAAACTCAAACCCACAGTCCCTCTGATTGCCCCACTGGGGTCAGCTGTGTTGCTCGTGTCTGGCTGGGGCTTTGCCAGTCGTTCCTCCACCCTTGCTGAGTGGAGCCCATCCCACTGGGCTTGTACCCCACCCTGTGTGTCCATCGTCCAGCCGAGAGGCTCTGGCGGATGCTCTGGGAGGCCTTGAGACGCCCACTCTGCTGCACATAAGGCCTGTCCATCAGCCAGCCTCGGGCCATGACTTCCCACGGAAGCAGGACGGGGTGGGCCGCCTGGTGCTCCATCCATGTGAGGTTGTGCCCTGGCCTCTAGTGCTTGAGGGCTTGCCTGAGAGAGGCCAGTAGAGCTGCTGCCCACCTCTGGCCTGCCCCCACTCATTAGCTGGCCAGCCAGGAGCCACGCCTGGACATCTTCCTTTTCCCCCTCTATGTGGGGTACTCTACAGGGACCACTGCTGAGACGCCTCTGCTGGGCCTGGGGCTTTGGGTCCTGCCTGCACTCGGCCCCGCTGGGCTGTACACCCCATGTCTGGTAGGTGAGATGGGTGGCTCTGGCCATATGGTCCCATGGGCCAGGACCCTGGTTGCACATGAACCTTCTGCCACCCTGCTTAGAAGCCCCGGGGGCCACACTGCCATGGGGATTCTCTCATTGGGCTTGCTGCAGCCTCCACGGAGCCAACCGTCCTGCCACAGCGGTCTCCACCTTCGGATCCGCCTGTAGCGGCCTCTGTGGGTCCTGTCTGTAGAACCCTGGAGGATGCCAGACCTTGGGCTTCCTTCTCTCTGCTGTGGGAAGTGTAGGTGCAGAAGCTTGTCTGGCTCTCCCTGCTTGGGACACATAAGGATTTCGGAGAGTTGGGCTGTGCCTTCTGGGTTCTCATACTCTCAGTGGGGTGTCTTGACACTGACCGCGAGCTTGTCCGACCTGGTCGGCATGCAGTCCAGGTCTCTGGGCACTTGTGCCTGGGCAGGAGAGCTGGCACAGCCTGGAGGCAAAGTGGCAAAAGTCTGCTCCACGTGGATGCAGTCTCCCATTTTTTTCTGATTGGGATAGAGATGGACTCATCTGGTCCTGGGCTTGGAACTCATGCCTGAGGCCACAGGGTCTGTGCCCTGTCTTGCCCAGCAGTGCCACCAGTGAGCCCAGGACTGACCACGCCCAGCCTGCAGAGGTTGAGCACAGTGCCCTGGCCTGGCAGATGGTGTTGGTCCCGTCCCTCAGTGGCTCCTGAGGCTTGTCATCCATGTGGCCACACTCCCTCCCTGCCCACAGGTGGGAGCCCCCAAACCCTGTCCTTTTTTTTTTTTGAGATGGGGCCTCATTCTCACCCAGCTTGGAATGCAGTGGCATGATCAGAACTCACTACAGCCTCACCCTCCCAGGCTGAAGCCATCCCCCCACCTCAAACTCTTGAATAGCTAGGACTAAAAGCTTATTTACCATAAACTTTTGTAGAGAGGAGGTCTCATTGTTGCCCAGGTTGGCCTTGAACTCCTAGGCTCAGGTGATCTTCCTCCCAAAGTGTTGGGGTAACAGGTGTGAGCCACCATGTCTGGCCCAATCCTTGCCTTTCACTTTTTTCTCAGGCCACCGTCAGGTGAAAGGTTGCAGACAGGTTCTCAGGAGGAGCACCTGGGGGCATCTCTACTAGCAGATCTCCCTGCAGCCCCAGAAGGCATCCCAGAAGGGTCTTGCAGTTAGGGGCTGCCCTATTGCCCCTTCCTCAAGTGAGCCCCTCACAGTGGCCGTGACATGGGCCTGGCCCTGCTGGCCCTTGGCAGGATGGGGACTGAGCCCCAAATCCTGCTGTTTGCAGTATTATGCAGAGTGTCACGGTGTCATCTATGTCATTGACTCCACCGACGAGGAGCGGCTGGCAGAGTCCAAGCAGGCGTTCGGTGAGTGTGGCCTGGCTGCTCTGGGAGGGACGGATGGGCAGCAGAGGCAGATCTAGCTTGGGCAGCTCTACCTGGGGCTGGCCCATTGACTGATCAGAAGTGCTCCTGCTGAGTGGGGGGGTGGTGGTGGGAGGGAAGCAGCTGTCTTAGCATCCACGCCTGTGGGCCCCTGGACAGTCAGAGGCAGGATGCTGGCTGTGAGGTGCTACCTCTTCTACCCTCCCCAGAAAAAGTGGTGACCAGTGAGGCGCTGTGCGGTGTCCCCATCTTGGTGCTGGCCAACAAGCAGGATGTGGAGGTGAGCCCCACCCCACCTCCTGCGGCAGCTTCCCAAGTCCCCAGGCTCCTGCGGGCGCAGGTGCCCCGCCCCCCAAGGGGAACAGTGTGTGCACCCGGAAACCCCAGCCCCAGTGACTGCCCAGCAGGCACAGAGCCATTCTGAAGGCCCACACTGCCTCCAGCAGACCTGGGACCTCTAGCTCCCCAGCCTAGTTCCTCTCAGTCTGCTGCTTCTGGAGGTTCTTCCACCCCAGGGCAGCCACCCAGAGGCCCGTTCCTGCCATGCAGGGCCCTCTCCCTGGAGGACGGCCGTGCCTCAGGAGTGCATGTCCTCAGGAATGTGTGTCTGAGCTGTGAGGAGGCCCAGGGCCCTCCCCTGGAGGATGGCTGTGCCTCAGGAGTGTGTGGCTGAGCTGTCGAGAGACTCAGGTGAAACTTGGGAGCTCAGAGAAGTGATGCTGGGGCCCCGGTGGGAGTCAACTCTGACCCTCACCTGTTCTCAGCTGGCATCTGTGCCAGCCCCATCCCCAGGGCAGCCCCTCAAGACCCCTCAGGTGCCACTGCCCCTGGGAGCACTGGCCACATTGAGTTTTTGCTGTCTTCTTAGAGGAGCTTTGCACAGAAGCAGCCTGGCGTCCTGAGGGTCAGGGTGAATCTTTACTTACCACCTTCTTTGGGGTGGCTCTGTTGCCCCCTCCTATAGGGCTGACCTCCCTCACAATCTCAGCTGACAAGAGGGACACCTGGTACGGGGCAGGGTTTTCTCCTTGGAGGAAAGGGGAGGTGAAGACTGCTCTTTGAGGACTGAGCAGGTGGTTGTGAGCAGAAGCCAGCATGAATCCAGACTCCCCCATCCCCCCTTTATCATCCCCTGCCTCGTTGGCCCCAGGACCCGCCTCCTGCACTGCCCAGGCCTCAGCCCTCGGAGTGCCACCTCAGGGCTCAAGGTGTCCTGCAGGGAGGGGATGGAAGGGGGCTCCTTGGAGCCATGGAGGATGTCTAAAGTTTATCCCAGACAGCAGCAGCCACATGCAGCCTTGGGCCGAGCACAGGGTCCTCACCGCCATGGCCTCTGTGGGAGACACTGGGACCTGGCAGACTTCTGTTTCCTGGGGTGAAGGGCAGTTGCCCTTCTAAGAGCCCTGGGCCCACTGGCAGGACAGGGCCTTGAAGTGGGGTCTGCTCCTTATGGCCTTGGCCTCGCCTCCCCCAGACTTGCCTCTCCATCCCTGACATCAAGACGGCCTTCAGCGACTGCACGGGCAAGATTGGCAGGCGGGACTGCCTGACTCAGGCCTGCTCCGCCCTCACGGGGTGAGTGGGCTACGCCTTCGGGGGTTTGGGGACCGAGGCCAGCCCCCTCATAGCCCTGTCTTCGCAGCAAGGGGGTGCGCGAGGGCATCGAGTGGATGGTGAAGTGCGTCGTGCGAAACCTGCACCGGCCGCCTCGGCAGAGGGACATCACATAGGCGCCGCCTGCTGCCTGCCTGCCATGGGGACGCCGGTCCCCTGGCCCTGGTGCTAGAGGAGTGGTTCCTCTTGGCTCCCGTGCTGCTCATCTGGGGGGTGGGTTTACTTTGCTTTGGGGTTCCTCTGTTTTCTCAAAGACAAACTTTCCTTTGTGTCTGGAGAAGTGTAGGCCTCTGGAGGCTTCGGTGGGGAGCCAGGCAGCCCAGGCCATCTGGTGGCCTTTCCATGGGGTGCAGCTGCTGCCCTCCTAGCCCCATTCTGGGGGATCTGAGGGAGACCTGGTTGGGAGTTGGGGCTCCAGTGCTTAGGCTGGCTTGGGCTGTGTGGGAACAGCTCTGTGGGGCCTTTGGGAGATCCCATAGCTGCCTGTCCAGCCCATCGAGGAGGTCGGTCAGGTCATGGCTGCCCTCTGGCTTCTGCCCCCTGTGACCCGAGAGGTGGTCTGGGGCTGAACTTGCCTTGAGGAAGACCTAGGCCATGTCCCCAAAGGCCACTGGGGCCCTGGGTTCAGATGCAGCCTCGGGACAGGGCTGAGGAGGCCTGCCTGGCTTTACCTCATCTTAACGCCCCTGGAGGGCACATACCGATGCCAACAGCTGAGGGGTCCTGTTGGGAGTGGCTGTTTTATGCCCATACTTGCATGCTGAGGAGTGTTTGTGGGGTCCAGAGCCCTCCAGCCAGGTGAAGCTGTGCCCTGGGCCCCCTTGGCGTGTGCTGGGGGGTTCTCTGTGGGGCCCTGAATCAGTGCTGTGCTGGGCCTGCATCCCGTTTGGGGGTGAGGCTGGTCCTGGGGCCCTCCATGCACAGCCTCCACTGGGCCTGCCGAGTGCTCTGCTCTTCCCCAGTGCGGCTGTGGGCAGGAGCTGCTTGCCCAGTGCTGCCCAGGATGAGCACAAAATAAAGATGGCGAGACTGGCTCTGTCCATCCCTTCCCTCCTGGAGTCCCAAGGCTCCGCTCTTGGCTGTGAGATGTAGTGAGGGTGGCCCTGGGCTGCTGAAGGGCTGAGGGCAAGTGAGGGGTTCCCCAGGTGGGCCTGTCCCTCCCTTCCTGTGGATGTGGGATGTGGGGGGCCTGGGAGGAGCTTCTGGGAAGGGACATGAGTCAGGGTGGGGGTGGCTGTGACTCACGGGAGTCAGGCCTGGAAGTCCCCGCGCCCTCTCCAGGGGCGCCTGTGCGTGTACCAAAGGTTGCTTCCCAGGACCTGTGGGAAGGGGTGTGTGGCTGAGGCAGGCCCCATTACTGTGGATGCTTCAGAGCCTGCCCCAGAGGGGAAAAGCCTCACTTCCCAAGAAGCACATGGGATGCCTGGGGGTGGTCTCTGGCAGGTCCCCTCTCGGGAAATTCCCTGAGTTGGGAGTGGGAGGAATTCAAAGGGGGTGGGGGGGCTAGTGTGGGGCCCTTATGATGGGCCGTCCTGAGCCTTGCCGTGTTCATCCAGCAGGTATGCCCTCCTAGGTCCTGACTCCCATGAGCTCTGGGGACCCGGCCACACACCACAGCCAGCAGGGAGCAGAGGGGGTGCTGCCCACTGACCAACCCCGGAAGGGGAAGCCCCAGGCAGCAATTGTGGGAGCCGGAGAGATCCCGGCAGATCAGGCATCCCCGCTGCCGTCCTAGTGGTCGCACAACAGGCCACAACCAGCTTTACAGAAAGACTTTAGGAAACCTCATTTTTTAAGAAAAAAAATTTTAAGCCTCTTTTGGTGCATGTGAGGGCCAAGAATGTATAAAATAAATAAGGGGGGGGTGAGGGGGCCAGGCTTAGTGTGCAGGGAGGAACCGCTCACGGATGCTCCGCTCCAGCCCAGGCAGTCTGGCCACACGCAGCGCCCGCAGCAGCCGTGCCAACAGCGTTCCGTCCCCCACCTCCAGAAGCTCCTTGAGCCGCTGCTGCAGCTTCAGCCGCAAGGCCGCCCGGCCCACCCTTGGCGCAGGACCCCAGCCCCCAGGGCCCTCGAGGACCTGCTGTAGCCGCTGCAGCTTCTTGATAGAGACGTCCTGGAGAGTCACGAAGTCGATGACGGCACGCTCACACTCCTCCGTTCCTGCAGGGGGAGGGGACGCAGTGTCCAGTCATTTCCAGACAGACACTGGGGGGACCCACCCGGCGGGTTTGCAGGAGAGGAAAATCCCTGTGGAGGGAGGGCAGTGTGAGAAGGTGCAGGAGTGTGGGCTGGGCGGCTATGCAGCAGTAGCCTTCGGTCAGTCAGCGCTCGCTGGAGCAAAGGCCTGGGAGCAGGAGCGGGGCTAGGAGAGGCAATGGGAGGGGCGAGTTGGGACCTGCAGATGGACCAGATCTGTATTGACCTTAACGGGGTCACTTCCCCTTGCAACTTCTCAACAATGGTTGCCATTGGGCCTCGGTTTCACCATGTCGAAGCAGGCAGCCACCTTCCTTCTCTGGAGCAGTTAGGGGAGTGTGCCGCCCACCTTCCAAGTGCTCCCCACAGGAGACTGCGCCAGCTTCGATCCTGATCCTCAGCCACCCCTGAGGTGGTAGCCTTCGTGGGGATCTATGGGAGGGATCCCTGACCCCTTACATCTGCCGTGGGCCCTTCCCAGAGCCCAGCTGACGGGTCCTCCGCTCACCTGGCTCACCCAGCCCACCTGGTAACATGGTACTGAGGGAGAAGCTGGTGCAGCTGGTGCACAGGGCGTCGTGGGAGGAGGAGCCCGGCATGGTGAGGGTCAGGCCCAGGGCTGTGCAGTTGCGGTGGGGCTGGCACTGCTCTGAGCTGGAGCTGCTGGCTGAGAAGGTGCCTGAGGGGCACGGCTGGCACTGTGTGTTCTGACTGGGGGTGCCTGTGGCCAGGAGGGGAGAACAGGGTCAGGGGAACTGGGGTCCTCGCTCGGGGTGCAAGCCTGGGAGTGGCAACCCGACCCGCCACACCTCTGGCCATCATTCCCCCGAGGGGGACCCTCCCCTCGACCAGCTCTCACCAGGGGCAGTCACGCCGGTGCCAGGGGGACACGGCGTGTGCCCCAGGCAGAAACCAGCGTGCGCGAAGAAGCCGGCTCGGCAGCGGCAGACGCGGTTGTGGGTGGCTTGGCAGGGCCTCGCCTCCTCCTCTCGCTCCCCGCAGAGGACGTTACAGTAGCGGCAGCGCTCCAGGTAGTTCCAGAACTGCGTGTAGTGGCGCGGTGGACAGGGGCCACACATCGTGGGGCTGTCTCGGCGGCACGGGCGCTGCACAAAGGTGCCTGGGGGGCACTGGGCACACACCAGCCACTCTTCCGTCTCTGGGTCTCGCCAGGGGTAGGTGGGTGCTTCTGCTGCTCCTCGTGTGGCCATCACCAACAGCAGGGTGGGCAGCACCCATGCCGAGCACAGCAGTGACAGGCCTGGCCCCTCCAGTGCCCTCATGGTCCTCGCTGGAGCAGGGAAAGTGAGGCTCAATGCAGACACCGGACCCTGCCGTGCCTGACCAGCATGCCCCATCCTTCTCCCCCAGTCCCCAAGCCCGTCCTGCTGCAGCCCTATATGGGCATAGAGGGCGGGGCTGGCCTCGTAATGCCCCATGGGAACCCCTCCCTCCCCAGGCAGCCCCCTCACCCACCTGGCGCCATCACTCCCCAGACAGGGGCCTCACCAGCCAAGGAACCACCCTCCTCAGCACCTGGGGCAGCTCCTGACCCAGCAGCCAGGCCAGATGGCCTGGGGTGTTGGTGGGTCCCTCACAAATTGCAGCTTTGCTGCAGCTGTGAGGACAAGGGTAGGGCTGAGCCCACCGTGGAGAAAGTAGTGTCCCGGGGGGCTGGGAGGTACCTTTGCCAACTCCCTGTTCCTCGGTGCACCCTCAAATCCCTCCACCAACCCCCAGCCACGAAAACACCATCCTGCGCACTGCCAGCAGTTTTATTAGAGAGCCCTGTCCCAATTAAAAGTGGACACATGCCCACAGGGGTCTCCTTCCTGGTCAGGGGCTCAGCTGGGACGCCCCTTGGGTACCACTCACAGGCTAGGAGCCAGGGAAAGTTCTGGGGAAACACTTTCCCAGAAACCCACCCCAGACCCCAAGGTAGCTCAGAGCTTCTCAGAGGCAAGTCCAGATCGGGCCCCACTGCAGGGACCAACCATGGGCTCCACCTGCCGGGCGCCTGCAACAGGCCAGGCAGGCATGGGTGGGCCTGTTCTATTGGGTGAGTTCTTGGCCCACCAGAGCCAAACAAGCAGGTGATCAAGCCACGTCGGGCGTGCTGAGGGCCTCCATGGGCACTCACTGGGGCTCCGGCCAGAAGACCTGCATGATACTCTGCCTCCTGCAGGTGGTGTGGCAGGCTGGGCACGTTCTAGAGGCCTGTGGAGACAACCAGCCTACTGGACATGCCTGCCAGGCACCACCCCCAGGCCAAGGGCCTGCTCTCTTCCCCTCAGCCCACCACCTGAGGCCACACCCAGCAGGGACTTCAGTAGCCGGGCACCAACCTGAAGGTACCGTTGCCAGCAGGCCTGGCAGCGCTGAAAGTCACAGGCAGGGCACTGGAAGGGCACCACGTCCTCCGCCCTGCAGCCCCGACACACACAGCCCACTGAGAGGGGCCCTCCTCCCGGAGCTGCCATGGCCTGCTGCCCAGCCAGGCCTCTCCCATGAGGCTCACCCCACTCAGATGCTGCAGGACCATGGGGAGGTCTGGAGGACTGGCTGGGCCCTGCTGCTGAACAGTCCGCCTCCACGGCCCCCGCTGGCCTCTGTCTAAGGAAGGACGAGATCTTGCTCTGCGTCTTCCCGGCCTTCTTTGGCCATGAGGGGCCTGCATGCAAAGAAGTCAGTCTGAGGGGTGCCTGGGGCTTTGCTGCTCACTCCCAGGGTGGCATGGGGCTGGGGCGCTGTCAGGAGCAGCCAGACAGGCACCCCACCTGGTTGGTGAGTCCCATGAGCGAGCACAGGAGGCGTGGCAAGGCTCTCCTCCTGGGGTCCCAGCAGCTCCATACCCCCATGGGACCAGCCAGTCAGGTCTGTGCACGTCTGCAGGAAGCGTTGCTTGTGGTGTGGACGCACAAACATGCTGAACCCTGCGGGGGAGCTTGCTCAGACCCTGCACTGCCCCACCCTGCCCCCCACCCTCTGCGCCACCAGCTGCACCCTGGGGCCACTTGCTCTGCAGCAGGGGGAAGTCCTCAGGCCTCTCGGTGGTCAGGGCAGCCAGCACGGCCAGCACCTTGTCCAGGTCGTCGTCCTGCTTGTAGGCTCTCAGTGCTGCCAGGAGCTGGCTATAGCCTGCGGACCCCAGGGCCTGGCGGGCATCCGCCAGGTAGGCGCTCACGGCACGCTGGCCCTGCTTCCCTGCTCTGTGTGCTCCGGACCCCCACTGTGGGTGGCTTCCAGGGTCCCCTGGTGTGGGAGTAGCACGGCTCAGTGGCATTGGGGAGGAGGGCTGAGAGTCCCACCACCCTGCCTGCCCTTCCTCTCAGGAATTCCTGGATTGCTGCTCAAGATGACCTGGGGTGCGGAATCAGGAGCAGCCCCCACCAGGTGATGGCTCACCACAGCGGGAGCGCCACCGATAGCTCCAGCTCAAAGGCTCTGAGGCCACATCAAGAGTGAGCCTTGCCGAGCACCGAGAGCCCCACAAACTCACAGGCTGCATGTGGCTCAGGAGCCACCTACCTTCGGGGGGTGGCCTGGGGGTCAGGTGGGGCCCGCCCTGGTTCAGGTGCTCTCTGGGGTCCAGCTGCTGGGTGGCAGCCTTGGACAGGGTCAGCTTGGGATCGGGCGCCATCCTTCCTGATGAAGAGATGCAGAGCCACAAAGCTGGTCCCAAGCATCTGGAAAGTTCCCCGGGGCAGGGGGCAGGGCTGGCTGGGGGTGGGGGGGGCCCTCGCCTCACCCTCTTCAGACCAGGGAGTGGAAACCCAGAAGGCACACACACAGGTGCCAGGAGCAGTGGAGGAGACACCATCCTTCTGGACCGGGGCTGGTACAGTGGCGGGCAGACCAAACCCCCACTCAGGAGCTTAGAGCCTCAGGGTGGGTAAGGTGTGAGGACACCCCAGTGAGCACCAAGTCCAGAAGGGGTCTGGGGTCTTCCCAAAAAGCTAGGTTCCCCGCTGGGGTGAACCCTGCACTAGGGGAACTCTGTGGGGCTGTTCATTAACAAACATGAAAACAGATGCTCCCGCCCCTGGAGGCTTGGGATCCACCCCAGGCAGAGGCAGGAGTAGGGAGGACGGGTCTGGGGTCTAGGACCCTGGCGTGTGCAGTTGATTCCCCAGGACCATGCCTGGGAGGCGGGGGCTATAGGAGGGACAAGGCCATGTGGGGGTTGGACAGGGCCATGTGTAGTGCGTAGGGGTCGGGGCTGTGGGAGGGGCAGGGCCGTGTATGGGGGGGCAGAGGAAGTACGTGGGGATTGGACAGGGTGGTGCATGGGGGGGTCAGGGGAAGTACATGGAGTTGCACAGGGTCTCCCCAACATGTGATGCTGCTGCTGCTGGAGATGGCCCCCATCACTCCCATATGGGAACAGAGGCACCCCAGGACCGCAGTACCACCCTGCCTTCCTCATAGGAGTCTGAAGTTCCCATAGCGGGCCCCACTTACCAGTGGGATCCAGAGCTGGCTGTGCCCGCTGCCTTTGAGGAATGCTGTGCTCAGGCTGATAGCCACAGCCTCGTCCTATTAGCTGGATGCAAACCTCCTCAAACTGCTGTTTGTGGTGGGGCCGTACAAACTGGTAGAACCCTGTGAAGCAAGTGTCTGTCCTGTTAGCCCCACCACGCACAGCAGCAGCACTGCCCTCAGGGTGGGCGGCCTCTGCAGGTGAGGGCACCTTGGAGCAGGCTGTGCTTCTTGGGGTCCTCAGCAAAGAGGGGGCGGAGGTGGGCCACCAGGGCAGCGAAGTCATCAGAACCCTTGTAGTCCTGCAGAGCCTGGGTGAAAGTGGCAAAGTTGGCCTGGCTCAGCTCCTGCTTCACAGCCACCATGAAGAGCTTGGCCCTGTCCACTTGTGCAGCAGCCGCGGGCTCCTCCTGCAGGACAGAGGCCCAAGGCTCCGTCAGGGTCAGCCTCACCGTCCCACCTGGGGCTACAGAGCCTTCCCTGGAGCACTGAGGGTTCCTTGGGACAGTGATTTTGGGGAGCGGGGTTCAGGCTGTTGCCTGACACTGGCTGGCTGGGTGGGCACAGGAAGGTGCTTCAAGAAGAAAGCCCTGGTGCTGGGCGGGGCTGGGCCTGCCTCAGATCACACAGTCAGAGACTGGCAGGGAACTGAGAACAGCGAATGGGGAGGGAAGATGGGCTCTCCCTCCAGCTGGGGGTCCTGCAGGGCCCATCTCCCTCCTCCCTCAAGCCCCCTGACCCACAGCGGATGCAGCTGAGGCTCCCAGGATGGCAGCTCATAGGAAGGGGCTTCCCAATGTGCAGTGCCTGTCTCTGCACACCCCAAGGCAGGGGTGGCCCAGGGACTCCCCACCCAGGCCCCTCAGCAGCCACCACTTCCTGATGGCACCACCCAGTTCTTCCCAGAAGCCAAGGGACAGGGACAAAGGCTGCCGCACTTGGGGCTTTCCAGCAGGCAGGGGGCTTCCTGGCTCTGGCTGTAACTCAGTTCTTTCATCCCAGGCTGGGAATGGGCTGCACCCTCACATGGGGCAGGTGCTCGTACACACTTAAGGGAAATGCCAGAGCCAGGCCTGCCCAAAGGTGGGGTCTGATTCCAGCTGGGAAGGCAGGGGGCTCATAAGGCCCCTGCAGAAGAAACTGTAGACTTGAGCCCCTGGCCTGCCAGCATCACAGCTGCCCTGAACATCAGCTCCTGAGGTGGCTTCCCTGGTCCAGTCAGGCCCACATCCCAACTTCGCTGGGGGCACCCAGGGGACCAGGAAGCTGTGCAGCCAGTGCAGGTGCAGCCACTGCTCACGCACCAGGTGGGTGACCAGCCGGATCTTCCTCCTCCCTCCTCGTGGCTCCTCTGCCAGTCTCTTCTCACATGGGAGGGACAGGGTGGAGTACCTGTGGGCCTGAGGAGGACATGGCTGTGGTTCCAACCACACACTTTGGGCCCCAAATCACCTGAGACATGTACCTGGGCCCACAGGGAAAATGGCACCCTGGGGTCTCAAGTAGCCAAGCCAGAGGCCAGGGAAGGGGTCATGGCACACCCTGGTGAGTAGAGGTTGGGGGAGGGCTCACAGTGCACCCTGGTGACAGTGCAACAACCCAGTCCTTTCCAAGCTATGCCAGGTGGCAACATGTAAGAGCAGGTCCAGAGAGGAGTCTGACCACAGCGGAGGGGCTGGCAGGAAGGGGACATGGGTGCCTGGTGTCTGCACCTGGGGCTCACTCCAGGGGCCTGAAGGGCAGGGACGGGCAGGAAGAGGGGAATGGCTCCCAGCAGGAAGTAGAAAGCTTCTGGTCGGCCTGAGAAATTATGGGCTTCTGGGGCAAAAGGCCCCAAGGAAGAAGGAACCTGGGTCCCAGCCACAGCACATTCCTGGAGAAAGTGCAGCCTCAGGCATGGCCAGTGGCAGGGACACCTGACCTTGAGTGCACTGAGCCAAGTCCACCCACCAGAGAACAAGTGATGTGCCCACCAGGCAGGGGATTTACACGAGCATGTGGGGAGGCATCTGAGGCCAGATGGGCAGGGTGGGGTTGGCCTCAGGAGACAGAGGGTCTGTGTCCATCCCAAGGCTCTGGAACTGTACCTGTTCCTTGCTGGGACCCCCGGCCTGCTGCTCGCTGTGCTCCAGGGCAGCCAGCAACCCTTTGGGCCTCTGCCCGGCAGGGACTGACTCCTGCTCATACTCCACACACAGGCTGCCCTCAAGGTCCTCAGCAGCTGGCGACCCTGCAGAAGCACCCCAGTGCCCACTGACGCCCATGGGAGCCGCTGCCTCAGTTCACCAACATGAAGGCCCTCCTGGGGGACAGCCCCAGTATCTGGGGGCCCCTGCCTAAGAGGGTCCTGGGGAGCATCCTTGCCAGGGGCATTTTCTGCCTGTAGGGGAGGGTTCCAGCCCATGGGGGCCCCACCCTGGGAGGGAGCAACAGCCTTTGCAGGTGGGAGGGATGGTGCATAAACACAGGCGAGCCGCCTGAACCCGGGTGCCTGGCGCCACCCGCCCATACCTGAGGGCTTCTGCTTCAGGCTGGGGACGTGCAGGTCCAGACTCTTAGCTTTCCTGGTAGAGAGGAGGGTGCCAGGCGACTTGGCCACTCTGACACCATCTTCTTTCTCACATGAGCTGGATGCTGCAGCCCGGGGGGCCGGTGCTGGCATCTGCAGAACCGTGGGGGTGGGTGGGCCTCTTTCTGGCCCCTCTGGGGGCAACACCCTGACCCCCTCCCTGGGCAGGAACTCACAGTTCGCTCAGCAACACGGAAGAACTGGACCACATCTCGGATGACGTGACCGAAGTTGTTGTACACCCTGACATGGGGGCGTACCCAGGAGGGCAGCTGGGCTCTGGCATCAGCAAAGGCGAACCTGGGGGGGGGGGCACAGCCCTGCCACTTTGCCCACAGCCACTTCTGGGGCTCAGTTCACCAACATGAAGACCCCCATCTTGCCTGCAGGGGCCCCAGGCTGACCCAGAGTAGCCAGAGAGGCTGTGGGGGAGGTGGGGCCTCATATGGGGAAGGAGAGTCCAGGGGCCTAGTGGGGGTGAGGGAGTCTCCCCGGGACTGCACCTGTGGTCACAGAGGAAGACGGCCCCGTAGTCCTGGCGGTGCCGGATCACTCGCCCAATGGCCTGGTTCACAGCCCTGGACGCCTGCTGCCGGTACCATTCCTGCCCAGAGAGGAACTGTGGGGCCAGGGGGCTGTCATGGTGGCTCGGTCACGGCGGGAGGGACTCAGTCACCAGGCCACCTTACCCCAGCCCCACCTTGCTGCAACTCACCTGGCCCCCAGCCCCACCCTGGCCCTTCATCTCGTCCAGGAACTGCATCTTGAGGACAACCCGGGGGTCCATGCGCGGGGGGTATGGGAGGCCCGTGACGATCACACCACGGCCATTCGTGTCGGAGAAGTCCAGCCCCTCACTGGCCTAGGGGACAGGCCAGGGAGCTGCCTACACCCAGCCCAGCCACCTTCCCCGAGGCTCCATCCCAAACCAGGGGGAGGAGAAAGCCCCATCTGTGGGTCAAGACCCCACTTAGGGTCCACAGTTCCTATACGCCACCTCCCAATTCTTGTGGCCAGGAACCTCCTGCACCCTGCCTGCCCCTGGCCCTAAGCAGGACCCGCTCCCAGCAGGACCGGCAGTGCTGCACTCTTGTGGAACCCTAGGAGGGGACCAGGTAGCCCTCAGGGCACAGAGTCTGCTGGGGAGCCATGAGCACCCACCAGGGAACAGGCAACCAGATCAGGGCGGAGGCCAGAGGGCTCACCTTGCCCCGGCACACGGCCAGGAAGGCAGCGCCGGTGGACCCGGGAGAGGTGACCCTCTCGTAGTAAGCACTGATGGTCTAGAAGGAGAGTTAGTCAGACTGAGCCTGGAGCCCACCCCTGGCTCCTTTCTCCCCCATGAGAAAGACCCAGGTCTCATCCTCCAAGATGAAGGATCGTCCTAGCCAGGAAGGCCAATCGGGGCTGACCCCATACCTGCTCAGTGCTTCCCAGAAAACATGGGGAACCCCAGGACTAGAGTGGCTGGCTGGGACTAGTCAGACAGGAAAGCCACCATCACCACACCCACCCAGTGCTGGGGTCTTTCTAAGAGGCAACACCCAGGGCCAGGAAGGAAACACAGGAGCCCCGAAGAGGCAACTGGGAGCCAGCCAGAGCCAGGGTCAGGGCTGGTGGTCAGCCCCAGGAAGGTCGTGAGGGGCAGGAGAGGCACGGGGGGGCAGTGGGCCCAGAGCCCCAACCATATGCCAACCTCAGAGAAGCTGCCTTTGCTCCTGGGTTCCACGAACAGTGGCTTCAGCGCCTCTATCTTCCTGGCCAAGTCTCGGGCCTGGGAGAGGAAAAGGCAGGGTCACAGTAGGCCTGGTTACCCCGCCATCTGATGAGGGCAGGCAGGGGCTGTGGCCACCACCTGCTCTGTGCTCCAGTCCTGCCCTCACCCACCCTGCCCAGGACACTGGGAGAAACGCACCCGCCAGAACTCCAGGCTTTTTTCCATGACAGGATAGGAAGGGAAGAAGACAAGGAGCCCGTAGGGGACCACGCGGGCGATGTTGCCTGCAAGTGCCATAGCCGGGGTCAAGGCAGGCGAGGGCGTCTGTGGGGTCCCTATCAGCTCCTGGAAGCAGGGGTCCAGGATGCAGGATGGGCACAGCTGGGGCACAGGGCACTCACCCAGAGCCTTCCCCAGGGAGGACAAGCACTCCTCAGAATACCTGCAGAGCAGAGAGGCCACTGCTCAGGGCCTGGGGCTCAGCACCCCCACCTCCCACCCCAGCAGGGCCCAGGGACAGGCCCTTACCGCCTGTCAAACGCAGAGCTCAACTGGGCTCCGTCGGGGCCTCTGGGGACAACCCCCACCCAGATCTGGTGCTTGTCAATGATGTGTGGGTTCTCCAGGCAGACTGGGAAAGGGCTAAGCATGGCCAGTGGGAGCGGACAGTGGGGAAATGTACCAGCACCCCTTTAGCCCATGAGGCCTGAGACCCCAGCAAGGCCTGAGACCCCAGCACCCCCGCTCATGGGAACCCCCAGCACCCCCACCCCATTGGCCGGCGTCACCAGTGCTGAGGCCCCTGGCAGGGTGGCCGTACATCTGCATCTCCAGGGCAAAGGAGGACACTGGGGCCAGCGTGCCGCTGGTGAGGATGAGGGTGCGGACACCCTGGCGGACCAGCTCTCGCATGCTGTGGCCAGGACTGAAGCACCAGTAGCTCAGGACCTTCCCTGTGGGTGGCAGGCAGGGGGCACAGGGTGTGAGAACGGGACTGGGGGCCTGACTGCCTGCCTCTCTGCCCGTCACCCTCTCCACCCACTGCCATCAAGCAAGCGAGCCGCCTGAAGTCAGGACAAAGAACACTGCCCTGAATGTGAGCACAGCCTGCCAGCGGGGGGCCCCTCTTGGGGGTCCTGGGAGTAGGAGGCAGACCCCAGGCAGATGCTGGGAACACCTCCAGAGAGGTCAGCCCACTCTAACCCTAAACTTCTTCAGAAATGGTGACGTGGGGCTCAGGGCAAGGAGCCCATCCCGCCAAGAGTACACGGGAAGGAAGCAGCCAGCGCCTGAATTCCAAGGAAGCGCTGCGGAAGAGGGAGTGCAAATTCCCACATGGCCTGGAAGAGGGAAAGTGCACAGGCCTCCAAGTTGCGTCAGCAGGGAATAATGTCACTGGTTCAAAGGAGTTCCTAGAAGTGCTTGACCAACTGGCCAAGGTGGCCGTGGCCTGCGGAGGAGGCTGAGCCTGTGTGTGTGCTGGAATTTGGGAATCCAAACAGTGCTGGCAGAATGACTGTGACTCTAAAGTCAAGAGCGGGCCGGCAGGGACGAGGCACCTTTCCTAACAAAGGCAACACGGCTTCCTGGGGCTGAATGTACTCTGTGACGGGAAACTCCCCCTTCTTCCCCCCGACCTCTAGGAGCTCATTTCCTACAAACGCCCAACACAGGGAGTGGCTGCTTCTGAGAAGTCAATGGAACAAGTTCCAGGCCCTGGGGATCTGTGTGCAGCCGGCTGCCTCAGGCACGTGCTGCCTCACGTAACCCCAGCTGCGTGAGGGGCTGGTCTCCCTCACAGGATGGAGGCTTCCCGCGGGACAGGCCTTGCTGCAGGCCATCACTGAGCAATGTCAAGCCACCGGCAATGATGCCCTCCCAGCCCTTCCTTTTCGGCTCCTCCAGGCAGACCCAAACCACAGCAACCACACTTGGGGCTGCCTCAGCCGGGGCCACGTCATGCCACCGTGGTTTGGCAGATGGCAGCCCACACAGAATGTGCCAGAGAGGGACAAGCCAAGCCCAGGGACAAGGCCCCACGGGAGCACAAGGAAGGGGCAGTGGCTCTGCCACTGCAGCTGTGAAGCCCCACCCTGGACACCACACAGTGGGGGTGGGGCCAGACACACCCCAAGAATGGAGGGCTCTGGACACAGAGCGAGGGGACACTCACAGACCCCATCCATATGGCATCCCCAGCAGCTCCGACTCTAAGAACCACAGAGCAGGGGAAGCCAATGAGGCACCTGGGGCCTCGGGGCCTATGCTCGCCATGGGCTTCGGGCAATAGGGTCAGCCGGGCAACCTTCAGATGGGACCGAGGCTTGGTGCCTCACTGCGCAGGTCTGTGCTGACTGCCTGGGCATAAATGAGCGTGTCCTGGCAGAGAGGTCTGGCTGGACCATGGCTCTGCCACCACCAACCGTTACTTTGGGCAGGTCATGGTGCTATCAGGCCCTCTCCTAGGTCTCTCAGTAACTCCAGCTTTCAGAGGGGCAGTAAGGAGAGGCTCTCAAGAGGCCTGGACATGGAGAAGGTGGCCAGGCCCAGAGGGGCAGGAGGCCCACGGCTGGCCGCCTGCCTAGCCATGGCGTGGTAGTACCGGATGCCGCTCCTGGGGGGGCGGGAAGTGCGTGGACCCAGGTCCATACCTGGCTTTCTGGCTGCAGTGGTGCTCCAGGCATCGGACTGCTGAGCTGCCCTCCAGTGACCAGCATCATGATGGATGTGCACCTGAGGGGACAGGACCAGGTGTGTGAAGGCATGCCCACGTCCTGGGGGTGGCCCCTTACCATTCAGGACCGCAGGACCCCAGCCCCACCTGCCTCCTAGAGGGGCAGGTGTGTGGAGCCCTGCCTACGTCCTGGGGGCAGCCCCTTACTGTTCAGGTCCATGGGATTCCCACCCCCACCTGCCTCCTGGAGGGGAGGCCCCTACCTTATAGGACCGTAAGGCCCCTAGCCCCTCCAGGAAATCAGGGCCGAACTCAGAGGGGTCCACACTGAACACAATCTGAAAGGCAGAGGAAGAGCAGCCCCGTCAGGAGCCTGAGGCCAGAGGCCAGAGGCCAGAGCCCTGCAGGGTGCACAGGCGTCCCCAGAGCACGGAGCCCTAGAGGCCATCCGACCTTCCACAGCATCAGCCCCACACACGGAAGGCCAGACAACACCCAGGGGTCATGGGTTTACCAGCCCCTGCCATCATGTAGTGCCAGGCCAAGGGATAGGACCTGGCACCTGCCTGATGCCTCTGTGAGCAGCGTCCCAGCGAGCTCTGTGTTCCCCACACACAGGCCACCTCCATGCACTGGAAATGCAGCAGCCAGCAGGTCCTCTCCTTGCCGACTGGCCCTGCCCTCCTCTCTGTGCCCGAGGGCCCCAAATTAATCCAGAAATTCAACGTGGCCTAGTGAGGTGGCTCACACCTGTAATCCCAGCACTCCGGGAAGCCGAGAGAAGCAAATTGCTTGAACCCAGGATTTTTGAGACCAGCCTGGGAAACATGGTGCAACCCCAGGGTCTCTGCCAAAAAAAGAAAAAAGAAAAATTAGCCAGGCATGGTGGCATGTGCCTGTGGTTCCTGCTGCTCGGAAGGCTGAGCTAAGAGATGGCCTGAGCCCAGGAGGCTGAGGCTACAGTAAGCCGTGATGGTGCCACCGCACTCCAGCCTGGGCAACAGAGACCCTGACTGAAAAACAGAGTCAACACATTCCAGTCAAAATCACAGCCAGGTTTTTAAAGGAAGTCAATACGCCGACTCCAAGAAGCACTGTGGAGAACATGTCAAGACAGGCTCAAAGAGCAAGAGGCCTGGAGTGGTGATTCACACCTGCAGTCCCAGCGCTCTGGGAGGCCGAGGCAGGTATATCACCTGAGGTCAGGAGTTTGAGAGCGGCCTTGCCAACATTTAGTGAAAACAGTCTCTACTAAAAATAAACAAATAAATACAAACAAAAACAAGAAAAAATTGGTTCCGGCTGACACCAGGACTTCTGACAAAACACAGAGAACAAAAACATGAGGAAAACAGCAGAGTGGCAGGTGCTCCGTGGAGTCGGGAAAAGCCGAGCAGCTCGGTCAGCGCAGAACCACAAGCCTGGCGTGCTAGGAAAAATCAAGGCAGATTCTGCCTTTCACACTCCACAGGTGCCGTCAGAAGGTGTGGAAGCCCAGACACAGAGCTCCATCGCGCTGCAGTGCAATTTGGAAAACATGTAAGACAAAGTTTATCATCTTGGTTGAGAGGCACAAGCTCAGGACAAAAATCTGACACCAAGGAAATGTCCGTTCACCAAACCTGTCCTGACAATGGAAAAAGTCCAGCAAGACCTGTGGTCGGGTACGGGTTTCTCTGAACTCACGGGGAGCCATGCATATCAATGGGAAAAGGACGATGCCAGCACGGGGAGAAAGCGTGTGACTACCATTCCCAGAAAGGGAGCCGCAAACAGCCAGAACAGGAACCCAAAGCCCGTAAAAGGCCAGGAGAGCGGCCACGTCAGCCAAGCCGCTGCCACCAGAGCCCCAGAGACAGACACACAGCAGGGATTTGTGCTGAGCAGACACCGTGTCTGGAACACACACCTGGCAAGGCATGGGGATTTGTGCACATGTGGCATTTTTTTTTTTTTTTACTGTTTCCCAAAGAATGGTGCACGTATTATGCATACGAGTGCGTGAGCCTGGGTATGCACGGGAGAGAGAAACTGCCTCCCATTCCTTCCTTCCTTCCCAGCCATGTTCACTGGCAAGACAGTGAAACACAAGGCTTTGCCTTTTACCCAAGCACTGGCCTACAGGGAGGGATGAAAATAACAGAACAAATTGACCATGACACTGGTGGCTGCCGTGAGCAGGGGCTGAGGCTGCCTCAGGAAACAGCTCACTTCGAAAATCCCTGTGCTGGGCAGGCACAGAAGCTCTTGCCTATAATCCTAGCACTTTGGGAGGCCAACGTGGGCAGGAGTTTGAGACTAGCCTGGGCAACATGGAAAGACCCCATTTCTACAAAAAAATTTTTTTAATTAGCTAAGTATGGTGGTGCATGCCTGTGTTCCCAGTTATTCAGGCAGCTGACAGAAGAGAATGGCTTGAGCCCAGGAGGCTGAGGCTACAGTGAGCTGTGATCAAACCCCTGCACTCTAGCTAGGGTGACAAGAGCGAAACCCTGTCTTAAAAAAATAATAAAAATCCTGCTGTGCCTCCGCCCCAAGGACGCCTCAGGCACAGAGGAATGGGGGACCCAGCAGTCTCACAGGGGCTAGGCTAGCAGCAACTGGCTCCCCAGCACAGGCCAGCCCTGCCCAGAGTTCACCCCCAGCTAAGCTATGACTACCCAGCACCCACCGGCCCTGCCCAGAGTTCACCCCCAGCTAAGCTATGACTACCCAGCACCCACCGGCCCTGCCCGGAGTTCGCCTCCAGCTAAGCTGTGCATCCCACATCTTCATCCTTGGACCACCAGCCCCACTCTGCCCCCATGGTCACTCAGGGCTGCAAGCCCGGCCCAGCACCCACCCTGTGAGCACTGCCCACACCTGCCCAGCACACCAGGTCCCCACAGGGGCACCCGCAGGGGCTCAGGAGTAGTGGCAGTTGAGCACTGTGCTCGGTTGTTCATCACCCCCAGGGCTGGGTGGACCTGAGTCATCTGCCAGCGGCTACTTAGAGCAGTAGTCAAAGGAAATTCTAAACCAGTGGAGCAGGGTTTGGTTCCAGTGTGGACGAGAGGGAAGACTTTTCCCTAAGTGGAGCCTGGGAAGCCATATTCCAGGGAGGGGAAGGTTGCAACCAGCACATACCTGCCCTCTAGGCCCTGGTGCCGCAGGGCTGCCTGGTCTGGCCATGTGCTGCAGGTGCTCTGCAGCCACCCATCGGGGACAAGGAAGCAGGTCCACCTGGCAGGAACACGGCCTCTGGCTTAAAGAGACAGCCATGCTCCAGGCAGGACAGCACAGCGGCCCTTGGCAAGCAGGAGCCACAGAGGGCGTGTGTGGGTCCTGGAATACCGTGCCCTTGGGGAGGAGCTGGGAGGACAAGGCAGTGCTGTCTTTCCAGCCCCACCTGCGGCACAGAGAAGACACAGGCTACAGGCTATGGCGTCACTGGCCGCAGAGATGGCCAAGGTGGAGAGAGGGCTGAGCCTGGGCCCTATCACCCCGTGCCCACCCCACCTGCTCCCTGCCCGGGCCTCACACCTGCTCAGAGCTGCATCCGTGAAGAAGGCAGCACCTGGCTGTCCGGCAGCATGGACAGAGCACTGCAGCGTGGGCACAGGCCGGCCATACGTCCCGGGGTTCTTCTGCAGCCTCCCCAGCTCAAGCACCGCAAAGGCCAGGCAGACACTCATGAAGCTGTCACAGAGCTGGACAGCCCCAGCCAACCCCATCACGACCTCACGTGGCCAGGAGGTGTAGTGTGGGCAGCACACAGGCAGCCTCACACGGCTCCATGCGGCCACCTGTCCCGATTTCACCAAGGACTCATGGCCTCCCAGTCAGGGACTTGAGGGTCTGCTTCTAAAAACTCACCAAGGCTCAGGAGAGGCAAGCGTGCGCCCAGAGCACCTAAAAATGGGGCTTGCCCTTCCGAACCCAACAGGCACCTCTGCATCAGGGAAAGCAAGTGCAGGCACTGCCACAGGCATGGAGCCAGGAGCAGACCTCACACGGGCATGATCCCCAAGAAGTCACGTGCCACCAGACCTCGTCCTCCACCATCCCTGCTCTCCCAGTGTGGGTGCAGGGCATGGGAAAGGTGCTGTGGGTTTGCCAATTAGAAACACGTGGTGTGGGGGCCTTTGTCCCATTCCCAAGTCTAGAATCAGTAACGAGTACAACAGGAGAAGGCACCCGCCCGGCTTCCATCGGGGAAGGATATGTCACAGAGGAGCAGGCCCCACCTGGATGATGTCTGCCAGCTTCTGCAGTCCAGCCGTGTTGGTGAACACTCCGGCACCTAGGGGGCAGCAGGGCACTGACACCCACACCACAGGCAGGGGAGGCCCTGGCCCTGGCCCCTTCAGCCATGAGCCCGCTCAGCCCAACTGCCAAGCCCCATCTCCTGCCTGACCAGGGAGCCAGGGTGGATTGCAGCTCCCACTCAGGGCAGGCAGCTCAGCTGCTCTTCCCATCAGCCAGGAGAGAAGCCAGGCAGGGACAGTCTCCAGGGGGATCAGTGGGACTTGAAAAGTCCCTCTATGGTCACATAAGGGTTGAAGTAGCAAGAGCCACCCTCCCCAGTACCCAGGAGTGCAGTAAAGACCCCAATGGGTCTGGCATCTCAAAACCAGAGCAGCCCATGGGGACACTGTCCCTCAAAGCCTCTGGACCCCACAACCTTGAGCAGAAGCAGGATTTGGGTGGTATGGAGAACCCAGCTAGGGCCTCTGGCTGCTCTTCCTTAAAAGGGGAATAATGAGATGAGGCTGCAGGACTAAAGCTCTATAGCAATTGGCAAGTGGCACTCATGCCGCCACATCCCAATCAGAAGGCGAGGCTCTGCGGACCTGTTCCTGCAGACAGTTGACAGCAGGTGCCACCGAGGGCGCAACTGCCAGGATAGAAGGCCTGCACCCCACCGCCCCACGCTGGCCTGCACTGAAGACCCCACCCCAACACTCACGTCCTGCCAGGTGCTGGATGATCTGGTCCAGCGAGTCCAGGATGCACCCCTTGGTCTGAAACGTGAGCTGGGCTTCAGCAAACAGCTCAAAGATGTAGCTGCCAAGGAGAAGGCAAGCTTGAGTCCGGGATGGGGGGTGGAGACCAGGCTGCAGCTTTGGGAACTTAGGGCATCGGCCGTGTGAGTTCCCTTCCCTTGGAAACAAACTGAGCCCTCCAGGGGACGTCAGCATGGAGGTGAGAGGTGGAGACAGGAGGCGTGGCCAGCAGGAGAACAGCCGCAAGGGCAGGGGACACCCATTGGAAGGGAGAGATGGGGTCGCTGGGGGGTTGTCAAGGGCGTCTGGGAGGTGGTGGCAGAGTCCCCAGAGCTTTGGAAAATGACAATGATGGGAGCAGCAGAAGCTACAGGAGGGGCCCATGGGGGTCCAGGGTGACCAAGGAGCCAGGTCAGAGCCTTGAGCCTTACGCTGAGGACATTGGCTCTACCTGGAAGCAAATGGAGCCCCCACAAGGTCGGCACTCAGGCAGATGGCATGCAGGACCCAGAATGTGCTCTGCCTTGGTGGCTGTGTGCTGAGGAGAGCCCCCACGCAGGCCCAGCCCTGACTCCTCATCTGCCTGCAGGACAGACGATGAACCCTGCTCCCATGGCTGTGGAGACTAGAGCCCCACAAAGCATTCAGAATGTTCCGAGCCTCCCGGAGTCCAAAAGAGGTGGTAGCTGGGACACTCAAGGTCCTAACAAGAAGGTCTTGTTCTAACAGGCACCTGTGCTGCAAATGAAGGGCTGGAGCAGGGTCTGAGGAAAGGCCTGTTGGGGGAGAAACTACGGAAGACCCAGGACCTGTGTGGGAGTCTGTGCTGCTGCTCTCAAGGTCTCACAAGTAACATAAAGCGGGTCTCACAAAGGGAAAACAGAACTCACTGGTGTGTGGGGACCCAGGACGGCACCACGGCCCATCTCCAGCTCTGGGCTGGGCCTGCAGTGAAGTGGCCACGGCCCGTCTCCAGCTCTAGGCTGGGCCTGCAGTGGAGTGGCCACGGCCCGTCTCCAGCTCTAGGCTGGGCCTGCAGTGAAGTGGCCACGGCTGGGCCTGCAGTGAAGCGGCCACAGCCCATCTCCAGCTCTAGACTGGGCCTGCAGTGAAGCGGCCACGGCCTGTCTCCAGCTCTAGGCTGGGCCTGCAGTGAAGCAGCCACGGCCCGTCTCTAGCTCTAGGGTGGTCGTCACTGGTGTGTGGGGACCCAGGACGGCACCATGGCCCATCTCCAGCTCTAGGCTGGGCCTGCAGTTAAGTGGCCACAGCCCCTCTCCAGCTCTAGGCTGGGCCTGCAGTGAAGCAGCCACAGCCCGTCTCCAGCTCTAGGCTGGGCCTGCAGTGAAGCAGCCACAGCCCGTCTCCAGCTCTAGGCTGGGCCTGCAGTGAAGCGGCCACGGCCCATCTCCAGCTCTAGGCTGGGCCTGCAGTGAAGCAGCTCCCTCCTCGCCTCTCACCTCCCTGGCTTGGTGACTCCGCTGTTGTCTCCAGGCAGCTCGATGGCATCGATGGCCCCCTCCAGACGGAGCAGGATCACTGTGGGTTGAGGGGGTGTCAGGGGAGGCCCCACCCAGCTCCAAGGAAGTAGGTAGGGCGGGAGGGCAGCACTTACTCTTCAGCTTTGCAATGTCTTCCAGCTCCATGTTCAGTCCTGCGTAAGAGAAAAGCAGCAATGGCACAGTTCATGCTCGTGCCAACTACCGTGCCCTTAACAGGATTCCTGGCGGGGAAGAAAGGACTCCATAGAATTCTTCATGGGAAGGAAGAGGCTCCATAGAATCCACGAAGGCCACATCCAAACTGGAGACACCAGGAGAAGCAGGAGGTGTTTTCCCTTTATTTATTTTTGAGACACTGGATCCCATGAATGGGATCACACACAGCATTTATCCCACCTTTCCTGTGTGATGGGACCACACACGGCATTTATCCCACCTTTCCTGTGTGATGGGACCACACACATTTATCCCGCCTTTCCCGTGTGATGGGACCACACATAGCATTTATCCTGCCTTTCCTATGTGATGGGACCACACACAGCATTTATCCCGCCTTTCCTATGTGATGGGACCACACAGCATTTATCCCGCCTTTCCTGTGTGATGGGACCACACACAGCATTTATCCTGCCTTCCCTGTGTGATGAGACCACACAGCATTTACCCCGCCTTTCCTGTGTGAACCTGACCACACACAGCATTTATCCCGCCTTTCCTGTATGAATGGGACCACACCTGACATTTATCCTGCCTTTCCTGTGTGATGGGACCACACATTCTAATGTGATGCAGACCACTGTCCTAAATTATTCCTGCTAACGACTAAGTTGTGGAATTAGCACACTACCATCTTTCAACCCCCAATAATTAACAGATCCAGGTGTTCAGCAGCAACACTGTTAGCATCAGAAGAAAATGGAAACAGGATACTGTGATATGCCTGATAGAAAGGGCATCATCTCACCTGGAGCCCTGCAAAACACAGCCCAAGTCTAACGGGCTCTCAAGCTACCTAATTCCAGGTGTGGTGGCTCACGCCTGTAATCCCAGCACTTTGGGAGGCCGAGGCAGGCAGATCACAAGGTCAGGAGGTTGAGACCATCCTGGCCAACATGGTGAAACCCCGTCTCTACTAAAATACAAAAAATTAGCCAGGCATGGTGGTGTGCGCCTGTAGTCCCAGCTACTTGGGAGGCTGAGGCAGAAGAAGCTTGAACCCGGGAGGCAGAGGTTGCAGTGAACCAAGATCATGCCACTGCACTCCAGCCTGGCGACAGAACAAGCCTCCTTCTCAAAAACAACAAACAAAACAAAACCACCTAAATGTACCGGGAACTCGTGTGACTGCCCCTCTCGTACACAGATCAGACTCCTGCCCAAGTGTAACTGGGGCTCTCAAACCACCTAAGTGCAGAGAAGATGCGGGAGCCAATAGGACTTCCCCTCCTGTACACAGATTCAGACTCTCAGAATAAACGGCCTGGGCTCTTCGATAAATAAAGTGTGAGGAAAAGAATGGATCCTGCTGAGCATGGTGGCACATGCCTGTAGTCCCAGGAGTTTGGCAGGCTGAGGCAGGAGAATCGACCCAGGAGGTGGTGGCTGCGGTGAGTTGTGACGGCACCACTGCTCTCCAGCCTGGGTGACAGAGTGCGACTCCGTCTCCAAAGGGGTGGGGAACGAACAGGGATGAAAACTGAAGCTCCAATCCTGAATGAGACGGAAACAGCGCCCCGCCACCACATGTCCCCCACGAGTTTGAACAAAAAGCCCTGCACTTCAAGCAACTACCGAAACTGGACAGTGAGGAAGGGAGGCAGTGGTGATGGGGCGGGCAGTGGTTCCTCACACGTTGTATATCCCGGCCGAGGTGCTAGGAACCTCGCAACCTGGAAACACCACAGGCATGAACCAGAAATAGCCAGAGAAAAGTCCTCTCTTCCAGCCAAAGGGCCAGGAAGAGGACAGCCTTCCTGCTGGACAGAACTCTTCTGACCCAATCTGTCCCCACGCCAAGTGACCACCACGAAGAGGCTGCAGCTCACCCCCCATGACACACTGTGGCCACACACCATGCATGAGCAAACATCAGCAAAGAGGTGGCACACCCTCCTCCCGACGAAGCAGCAGCTGCAGAGACACGAGGAGGAGACCTGTCATCCCTGCCCTGAGCCAAGCAAAGGATGGAAAGAGGTGGCCGTCCGCTCCCAGTTAGAGAGGCGGGGTTGGGGGACCATGGAGAGGAGGGAAGTGGAGCGTTCAAAGTCCAAGGAACCCCCTCCCCTACTGCAGCGCTCTGCAGTCTTGAGAGCCGGTGGCAGTGGTGTGCACCTGCGGTCACAGTGCTTTAAGAGGCTGAGATGGGAAGATCCGTGAACCCAGGAGACCGAGGCTACAGGGAGCTATGATCGTGCATTCCAGCCTGGACAAGAGTGAAACCCTGTCACTTAAATATGTGTATATACATACAAAGGGACCCTAAAGCCAGAACACCTGAAGCCAGATCCTAAAGACAGAACACTTCTGTGCTAAACAAATGACAAGTTTGGGAACTCTCTCTCTACCATGCAACAGCCTTGGTGAGGAGGGTGAGGACAGTGCCACCCAGGGTCCAGGGTCCCCATGGTGTCCGTCCACACGTATGATTTTAAAAGAAAATGGGAGAAGCTGATGCTGTTTACACCCAGAGATGCCCACATCAAAGCAGTGCCACAGCAGAAGAACATATGGAAATATTCAGACTCCCAGTCAGCTGTTTACAGAGACCACATAGAAAATATGGACCAAGGCAGGGTGCAGTGGCTCATGCCTGTAATCCCAGCATTTTGGGAGGCTGAGGCAGGTGGATCACCTGAGGTCAAGAGTTCAAGACCAGCCTGGCCAACATGGTGAAACCCTGTCTCTACTAAAAATACAAAAAATTAACTGGGTGTGGTGGTGGGCGCCTGTAATCCCAGTTACTTGAGAGGCTGAGGCACAGAATCGCTTGAACCTGGGAGGCAGAGGCTGCAGTGAGCAGAGACTGTGCCACTGCACTCCTGCCTGGGCAACAAGAGCAAAACTCCGTCTCAGAAAAAAAAGAAAGAAAGGAAGAGAATATGGACCAACTGAACACATCCATAAAGGATTTCCACATGTGCCATGACTAGCGCTATATGAAAATACGCCTCTGGACAAACACTGGGAAGGAACCCACAGGCATAGCAAGTGGCATGGCAGCAGATTCGCAGGTCATTTAAAAATGCAAAATGCACTTACAGTGAATATATTTAGTTTTCCTTTTTTTTTTTTTGAGATGGCCTTACTCTGTCACCCAGGCTGGAGTGCAGTGAAGCCATCTGGGGCAACCTCTGCCTCCCAGGCTCACAGTCCTCCCACTTCAGTCTCCAGAACAGCTCAGACCACAGGCGCACACCACCACACCTGGCCAAGTTTCTGGTAGTGGCAAGGTTTCGCTCTGTTGCTCAGGCTGGTCTCAAACTCATGGCTTCAAGCAATGTGGGTTTCCAATTTTACATAGTAGAAGCCAAGTTGATACTGGCTGGGAGAAGACGTAAGGTCTTCAGAAAATGCCAGAACTACTAAGCAATAACAGCCCTTCCAGTCTACAGGACCGTGAACAATTCACACCCAGGAAGCCTCTGAGAGAAGCTGATGCCATGCAGTGCCAGCCTGTGTGTGGTGCCCAGGGAGACCACACACAGTCACAGGGCAGGCTGTCCCCCACAGCAGCCTGGGGCTCAGGACCCAGGAGCCTGGCTGTGAACGCACCTGAGCTGGGGGTGTCCGCGCTGAACTCTGGGTGGGGCTCGCCCTGCTGCGCTGCCTTGGTCTGCTCCTCCAGCACCCGGTCTATGACGTCTAGTCCTGAAGCCAGGTCCTGGGGTGTCAGGTCAAAGGATGCCGATTCTTCACATATCTTCTCCTGGAGGCCAACCACACCCGAATCACCACAGAACAGGACAGGAATGGGGGTTCCAGGAAGCAGAAATGGGGTGGGGGTGCAGGAGGCACAGGAAGCTGACAGCCAAGTCCCCAAAGCCATGTCCTGGAGTCTCTAAGGCCAGGCCAGAAGCAGGTCCAAACACAACTGTCTGGCCAATGTTTAGAAACAATTATTTCAGGCCAGGCGCGATGGCTCGCACCTGTAAATCCAGCACTTTGGGAGGCCGAGACAGGCAGATCACTTGAGCTCAGGAGTTCAACACCAGCCTGGGCAACAGTTCAACACCAGCCCGGCATGATGATGTGCACCCGCAGTTCCAACTACTCGGGAGGCTGACTTGAATGCAGTAGGCGGAGATTTTGGTGAGCCAAGATCGTACCACTGCACTCCAGCCTGGATGACAGAATGAAATCCTGTCTCAAAAAGCAAACAAATAATGATTATTTCACTTGAGTTGCCAACATTTTTTTTTTTTTTCTGAGATGGAGTTTCGCTCTCGTTACCCAGGCTGGAGTGCAATGGCACGATCTCGGCTCACCGCAACCTCCGCCTCCTGGGTTCAGGCAATTCTCCTGCCTCAGCCTCCTTAGTAGCTGGGATTACAGGTACGTGCCACCATGCCCAGCTAATTTTTTGTATTTTTAGTAGAGACGGGGTTTCACCATGTTGACCAGGATGGTCTCGATCTCTTGACCTCGTGATCCACCCACCTCGGCCTCCCAAAGTGCTGGGATTACAGGCTTGAGCCACCGCGCCCAGCCCCCTTTTTTTTTGACACAGAACCTTGCTTTTGCCCAGGCTGGAGTGCAGTGGTATGATCTTGGCTCACTGCAGCCTCCGCCTCCAGGGTTCAAGTGATTCTCCAGCCTCAGCCTCCAGAGTAGCTGGGATTACAAGCACCCACCACCATGCCTGCTAATCTTGGTATTTTTAGTAGAGACAGGTTTCACCATGTTGGCCAGACTGGTCTCGATCTCCTCAAATGATCCGCCAACATAGGCCTCCCAAAGTGCCAGGATTACAGGCATGAACCACCATGCTCAGCCAAAAATTTTTTTTTGAGACAGAATCTCACTCTGTCATCCAGGCTGGCATACAGTGGCATGATCACAGCTCACTGTAACCTCTGCCTCCCGGGTTCAAGCGATTCTCCTGCATCAGCCTCCCGAACAGCTGGGATCACAGGCACCTGCCACCATGCCTGGCTAATTTTTTGTACTTTTGGTAAAGATGGGGTGTCACCACATTGGCCAGGCTGGTCTTGAACCCCTGACTTCAAGTGATCCGCCCGGCTCAGTCTCCAAAAGTGCTGAGATTACAGGAGTGAGGCACTGCACCCATATGCCAACATTTCTTAATTAAAATCTAGATTCCTGGCTTTCTCTCAAGTCAGAAGACCTAGTCTACCGTCTCACATGGCAACAAGTGCCTGGAACTAAGGAACTGGCTGAGGGTGGTCACTGAGCCCGGAGCCCAGGGCCGCGCAGTGGGGAGCCTCATCCCAGGCTTGGGAGTGTCCAGCACAGCTGACCCCAGGGGCCCTTCTCCAGCACCATTCCTGGGTCCACAGGGCCCTGAGCAGTGGCAAGCAGCGGCCACAGAGGCAGGGTGGGGGTGGCACTGGGAGCTGGAGTGGGAGCATGCTAGAGCCAGCAGGTGGGACTGGGAGGGCCTCTTACAAGCCACTCCTGCAGCTGCGGCCACAGGGGTGAGCAGCTGTCTCCACAACAGCCCTCCCAAGGGTCAGCCCATGTAGCCTGAAGGGCAGAGATGGTGCGGGAAAGACACACGCCTGCTACTGCCCTGGTGACAGAAGCCAAGGGCAGAGGAGACAGCCCTGGCCCAGGTTGACCCCGAGATGGCTGGAGGGAAGGGGTCTGGTGAGCAGCTTCTGGGGGCCTGTGCCTGAGGAACTGGTCCCTGGCCCAGCTGGCCGGTCTCCAGCCCCAGAAGAGGCATCAGAGCAGACCAGGAGGTATGGCAGAAGCTCCTGGTGTGCTCAGTCCTGGGTACCTAGGGCTGGAAAGATTGCTCTTGACAGAGAAGCCAGGAGAGACAGGAGGCGTTCAGGCCAGTGGGGACTCACCACGTTGTGAGCTTCATCCAAGATCACGACCGTCCCCTTCAGGTCAATGCTGTGTGCCCGGCGGCTCTACAAGGGGAAGAGAGGGGACGGAGCGGTGGAGCCGAGTGGGACAGGGCCCCTGTGGGCGCAGGCTCACAGAGACAGGGAAAGAGGGAAACCAAGGCATGTGTGGCAGGCACCAAACATCACAAGCACAGACTACACACGGCGCCGGCGAAGTCCAGAGGAGGCCTCGTCTGTCAGGAGGGCCAGATCTCAATGGCAACCTAGCAGCACCACACCACGCTAATCAGCAGCTTACCACGGAGGGGATGCTCATGGCCAGCACGAAAAGGCACACGCCACGCTCAGCAAGATGGTCACAATGCCCTGGGAGCCCCAGGACACTGCAATCCTGTAGCCACAGATGCGGAGGAGCCAAGAGGACCCAAACCCAACAGTTCTCTGCCCTGGCACACACTCAGGAAAACTAAAAATTTCCAAGGTCCCACCCACAGTGTCATGGGAGTAATGTGCAGTAGGATCCAGTTTTGGTATTTTTAAATTTTCACACATCAAGATGCCCATTTTAAGTGTACTGAGTTCTGGCAGTGATGTGCACCATATAACCACCAGCGCCACCCCTGCCTTTTCTATTAATAGAGCATCATATAAATGGAATAAAACAGTAGGTCCAGCCAGGCGTGGTGGTTCACACCTGTAATCCCAGCACTTTGGGAGGCCGAGGCGGGCAGATCACAAGGTCAGGAGTTCAAGACCAGCCTGGCCAACATGGTGAAACCCTGTCTCTACTAAAAATACAAAAATTAGCCAGGTATGGTGGTGTGCACCTATAATCCCAGCTACTTGGGATGCTGAGGCAGAAGAATCGCTTGAACCCAAGAGGCAGAGGCTGCAGTGAGCTGAGATCGCGTCATCACACTCCAGCTTGGGTGACAAAGCGAGACTCCATCTCAAAACAAGAAACAGGAGGTCCTTGTCAGTTGGCTTCTTTGGGTTAGCATGTCTGGGACTCATCGGCTCCCTGCTGCTATGTGACCACAGTCCACGCCTGTGGGCCGCTGCTGGTGTTTGGGTACCACGGTTTGTCCATTCACCTGTGGATGGGCTCATGAGTTGCTTCCCAGTTTTGGCAACTGTAAACAAAGCTCTGGTAAACCTGCACATTCAAGTCTTTTTCTCCTTTTTTCTTTTTTTTGGGAAGGAGGTCTCCCTATGTTGCCCAGGCTGGTGTCCCGGGCCAAGCGATCTCCAGCCTTGGTCCCTAGAGTTCTGGGATTACAGGCATGAGCCCGAGCCTGGCGCACATACAAATCTCTGAACATATCCTCCCTTCCCCAGCTCGGCTGTTTGGTACACGTTTGCGGAGTGGCTGCCTCATGCCTCACCAGCAATGGAGGGGACTCCAGCTGTTCCACACCCTCAGTAACACTCAGGTTTCCGGAATTCCAGCCATGTGGTGGGACTGCAGTGCTGGCTCCCCGAGGCCTTAACCTGTTTTCTCCTATGACTGGAGATGCTGGGTGAATTTTCACATGCAGAACTGGCCATTCCATCCTTCTTGGTGAAACATCTGTCCAGGTCCTTTCCCAGTGGTTAACTGGGTTGTTTGCTTAGTTATGAGAGAATTTTACATACTCTGGTCAAAGGTCCTTTGAAATCAAAAAAGGGGCCAGGTATGGTGGCTCATGCCTATAATCCCAGCAGTTTGGGAGACCGAGGTGGGCGGATCACAAGGTCAGGAGTTTGAAACCAGCCTGGCCAGTATGGTGAAACCTCGTCTCTACTAAAAATACAAAAAAATTAGCCAGGAGTGGTGGCGCATGCCTGTAGTCTCAGCATCCACCTCGGGAGGATGAGGCAGGAGAATCACTTGAACCCAGGAGGCAGAGGGTGCAGTGAGCCGAGATCTTGCCACTGCACTCAAGCCAGGGTAACAGAGGGAAACTTTGTGTCAAAAAACAAACAACAACAACAACAACAACAAAAATGAAGAAATCAAAGGAGGGCTGAAAAAATTTTAAAGTCCTTTGAAAGACAGAAGCATTTTCTCCCTTTCTGTAACTGCTCTTTTTCTTAACTCTTCCAAAGAGTTGAAGCTTCAAATTTTGGTGAAGCCCAAATTTTAGTGTTTTTCTTTTTTTTCATTTTACCTTATGTTCTGGGGCACACGTGCAGGTCATGCAGGGTTGTTGCACAGGTGCACACTACATCTGACATTTCTCCCCATGTTATCCCTCCCCACCTCCCAAATTTTAATGTTTTTCTTTATGGCTAGTGCCTTGTGTGTCCACACTAAGAAATCTTTGCCTACCCCAAAGTTGCAAGGACCTCTCTGTTTCTTTCTAGAACTTTTAGTTCAGCTTTTACACTTAGGTTTATACAGAGTAAAGTAAGAGCTAAGATTCACTGTTTTCCAGATATCCAGCCATTCTAGCACCATTTTTTCAGAAAACCAAAAAACAATGTTCATTTCCTCTGTGAATTACATTGGTGTGTCTGTCAAAAACAATCAGCACGGGCCAGGCATGGTGACAGCGCCCGAATCCCAGCTACTTGGGAAGCTGATGCGGGAGAACTGCTTGAACCCAGGGGCGGAGGCTGCAGTGAGCAGAGATCGAGTCACTGTGCTCCACTGGGTGACAGAGTGAGATTCCGATGGAAACAAAACACCAATCACTACAGGCTGTGGGTCTGCTTGAGTTTCTCTCTTCTCCACAGGCCTGCACTTGAGCCAGGCAGTCTCCACCCAACTCCCGCAGCTTTAGAGGAGTCTTGAAACCAGCGAGGTGCATCCTCCAGCTTTGTTCTTCTCCACCGTCACCTTGCTGTTTCAGATCTTCAGTGTGTCCATCAAAGTGTTAGATTCAGTTGTAACTGTCCCAGGGAGGGGTCTGATGGGGTCAGAAGCTCTCTAGGTGGTTCCCAAGGGCAGCCAGGGCTCACAGCACCGAGTCACCCACAACCATGGCAAACCTCACCAGCTCTCCATTCTGCAATTGCTTCCAGGAGTCAGCCCCACCGGCCCACACTCGCCTCCTCACTTGCTCTGCTGCACCTGCTATGGCTCCTCTCCAACTCAGTGTTCCCCATCCTGGGCCCTGCCCACTCGGCTCTGGATCCACCTCCTCCCTCTGCTCTATTTCCCTTCAATATCATCAGCTCACTTGCTTACCCTTTTGCTCTTTTGCTCTCTACCTGTCCCCATCACCAGAATCAAATCTCCATGTGAATGAAGCCAGTTTTGCTATGCCTAGAACAGCACCAGCACAACAGGCTCTTGATAAATATACACCCTGAGAATGAGCAAGTGAAGGGATCTGGAGAGAAAAACACCACCATGTCATCATCACATGAACACGCGAGTCACTGACCCTGTGCATGGTGTCGGATTGCACCTGCACTAAATAAAAAGTGAGGGGCACAAAATCATGCGGGTGAGCACATGCTCTTGATGGGGGGAGTGAGCGTGGCACTGGGCATAGGCTGGGAGCCGGGAGTGAGTAAGAGTCAGCCTGGGGCTGGGCACAGGCTGAGGGGATGAGAGTGAGCATGGAGCTGAGGGAGAGTGGGAGTAGTGAGTGGGAGTGAGGGTGAGGGTGGGGTTGGGCCAGGCTACAGGGTAGTGAGTGTGGGGCTGGGCACAAGCTGAGGGGGGAGTGAGTGGGAGTGAGCGTGGGGCTGGGGGAGGAGTGGGGCTGAGGGGGAGTGAGTGGGAGTGAGCCTGGGGCTGAGGGGGAGTGGGGGGAATGAGTGGGAGCGAGTGTGGGGCTGGGCCAGGCTGGGGGGTAGTGAGTGTGCGGCTGGGCCAGGTTGGGGAATAGTGAGTGTGGGGCTGGGCCGGGGTGAGGGGGGAGTGAGTGTGGGGCTGGACTGGGCTGAGGGGGAGTGAGTGTGGGGCTGGGCCGGGCTGAGGGGGGAGTGTGGGGCAGGGCTGAGGGGGAGTGAGTGTGGGGTAGGGCTGAGGGGGGAGTGAGTGTGGGGCTGGGTTGGGCTGAGCGAGGAGTGAGTGTGGGGCTGGGCCGGGCTGAGGGGGAGTGAGGGTGGGGCTGGGCACAGGCTGAGGGGGAGTGAGGGTGGGGCTGGGACAGGCTGAGTGGGGGAGTAAGTGTGGGGCTGGGCACAGGCTGAGGTGGGGAGTGAGGGTGGGGCTGGGCCAGGCTGAGGGGGAGTTGAGTGTGGGGCTGGGCACAGGCTGAGGGGGAGTGAGGGTGGGGCTGGGTACAGGCTGAGGGGGAGTGAGTGTGGGGCTGGGCACAGGCTGAGGGGGAGTAAGGGTGGGGCTGGGTACAGGCTGAGGGGGAGTGAGGGTGGGGCTGGGCACAGGCTGAGGGGAGTGAGGGTAGGGCTGGGCACACGCTGGGGGGGAGTGAGTGGGCTTCCCATGTTCTTGGTGCCTCCTCCCACAGTCAGATGTGAGTGAAGATCCTGAACTGTCCAGATCATGAGTGGGCACTGGCCTGTGAACCACACCTGGAGGTCTCTTCTCACTGCCACCAGCCCACCCACACCCAGGGTGCTCACAACAGCTGACCCGTGGCCTGGGGCTGCTCACAAGTGTGTCTGGCCAGGCTGAGCGCCTGCCAAGTGACAAGAGTTGAGTCCTCCTGCCCACGCCTGCTGCTCTGAGGCCCTGAACCCGCAAGGCTCGGATGGCCTGTCCTAAGCCCAGAGATAGATACCCACTGGACATCAGGAGTCACCAGATGCACAGACTGAGCCCCCACCTTGGCATCCAACAAGTAATTGTACGGCATGAAGATGATGTCAGCCTGCTGCTTCAGGTTCCGGGACAGGTAGTAAGGGCACACCCTGGAGGGGAGAGCAGGGAGGGTGCTGTGAGCGCCCCGTGCAGAGGATGACCCGAGGGCGGGGCCGCCATGGCTTCTGACCAGGAAGAAGCCTTATCCTGCACGTGGGAGCCCAGATGGGAAGCTGCTGTCTGGGATGGATGGGGAGTACATATCAGTTTCCAACCATGTGAATCATCGTCTTTTTAAAAACTCAATGGAAGGGTCAGGCACGGTGGCTCATGCCTGTAATCCAAGCACTTTGGGAGGCCCAGGCGGGTGGATCACCTGAGGTGGGGAATTCAAGACCAGCCTGACCAACATGGTGAAACCCTGTCTCTATAAAAACAACAACAACAAAAACTCAATGGAAAAGAAAAAACAACCCTATTCCCGAATAGAGGTCATCAGAAACAAACACAACACAGAAGCACTAAAAAAAAAGCAGAGCTGGTAAGGTGCAGTGGCTCACGCCTGTAATCCCATCACTTTGGGAGGCGAAGGTGGGCAGGTATCTTGAGCTCAGGAGTTTGAGACTGGCCTGGGCAACACAGTGAGACCCTGTCTGTACAAAAAATACAAAAATTAACCAGGAATGGTGGTGCGTGCCTGTAGTCCCTGCTACTTGGGAGGCTCAGCTGGGAGAATCGCTTGAGCCTGGGAGGTTGAGGCTGCAGTGGGCCGAGATCCCGACTCTGCACTCCAGCCTAGGAAACAGAGCTAGACTCTGTCTCACAAAAAAAGGGGGGAGGGGAGCTTTTCACCCTAAATATAAGAAAAGCTTTATTACAACTTGAATCTCTGAAGCTATAATCTATTGATGTCGGACATATCTGCTGTCCTCAAAAGAACGAGGCCAAGCTACCAGCACCAGTGTGAGAAGCTATTCACAATGCTGTGAAAACGGAAAATGGCAGACAAAGCCTCCACAGCAGACACAGGGGCCACAGTGGCCATCTGGGGTGGCTGAGGGCCAGGGACTAGGGAGGCAGTTTTGCTTTTTACTTACGTTCCTCAGGGCTGCTGAAACTTTTTCATACTGAATGGTTGTTAGTTTCATAATTTAAAAAGAAAGAAACATATTGGGGGTTCAGCAGGCCACAGGAGAGCTGGGCCGTGGAAGGACATGGTGGGTGTGGCCTCACTGACGGGTCTCACCTGTGCCTGCTTCCGCTCTTGACCAAGTCCTCGATGTCCAGGATGGGGCTGGTCAGCTCCTGCTCCAGGCTCTTCTCTGTAGGTGTGAGGCAGGGGTAAACACATACCCTCAGGGTCCGCTAAGTCTCCCAGACCACAAGGGGATGCCCAGGACAGAACAGCTCCTACACAGTGGGCAGGGCTGGGCGTTCTCCCACAACCGGGAACATGCCACAAAGCACCCACTGAGGGTCTCAGGTGCCCAAGGGAGGCCCCCACCCAAAGTGATCCCAAGGGAGTCCTCCTCTGCCCTAGAAGGCAGTCTGAGGCTGAGGGTGGATCCAACAGAGGCCAGCAGGGTCCCGAGGGTTCTCCACATCCTCTCCAAGACAACTCAAGATAGTACAGGAGTGGTGGCCATACCCAGCCCTCCTCAGGGCAGGAAAGGACAGCCCCTCAGCCTATTGCCCCAGCTCACAGAGGTGTCTCTCACAAACCCTTGCGATTACAGCCAGTCACTCAGCTTCCCTGCCAACCACAACAGACCCAGAACTTCCAGCTAAAAAAGAACCAGGTTTTCCTGTGTTAAACAGTGCCCCACCCCCACCCCCGCAGCATGGCAGCCATGAGAAAGGGCACTGCCTATGCTGGCTGAGAGGCCCAGGGCAGAAAAGATCTCAGGGAGTTTGGGGGATGGCCTGCCCCTCCCTTGCCTCCACAGCACAGGCTCCCAAACTGGAACCACAAGAATTCCTTAAGGAGCTGCTTAAACACAGACAGGACCAGGGACCTCTTCTAACAAGCATCCCAGAGTCTTAGGGCAGTCACATGTGGCCGTGGAGCCTCCCCCAGCTCCCGACTCCATCATGGTTATTTTGTGCCAGTCCCCAGCAGATGCCAGGTCCCCTGAGGGCCAGGACTCAGCTGCAGAGGCCAGAAGCAAGTGTGTACACACATACACGCACACACGCACATACACACACCCCAGAGATGACTCAACCCAGGACTCAGCTGCAGAGGCCAGAAGCATGCACGCACACACGCGCACACACACACGTGCACGCACACATACACACACATCTACACACCAGCGATGACCCAACCCCACATGCCCCCAGGGATAGCAGGGAAGGCAGGGGAGGAAAAGCACACTCCTTAGCAGCACCATAGCAACAGGCCAGCCAATCAGCATGCGCTGCAACACATGGGCACTTTCCAGCCCTTCCCGGGTGGAGAGCTGAGGGTGGGGCGAGGACAGGAGCTGCGAGGGGAAGGGGACGAGGGGAAGGGGTGTCCCAGAGGCTCTCCAGCTGTCTCCTTGTTCGTCCAAAATACCTGCCTCCCTTCCTCTCATGTCCCTCCTGGAGCTGCAGCCCACTCCAAAGATGCCCAGGCCTGTGCAGCTGCTGCAGACACCACCCTCACAGCCCATCCAGGGGGCAGACAGGACACCAAGGTTCACAGCTAGGCAACCCCAGCAGGTCAGGCAATGAGAGCCCAAGCCAAGGGAGACAGGCTGGGGGCTGGTCTGTGTCTTCTTGGACTGAGCTCACAGGCTGGGGGAGGAGAAAGAGGGGGGACTCAACACCCATAGGCCTGACACCCATGGAAGCAGAACCAGGAGGCAGTCAACTACTCTCACCAGGGAGCAAGTCCAGCAGCCATAGGGCACTGCCCTAGTCCAGGACCATGGCAGGCCAGGCCTATGGTCAGCGTTCCACACTATCCCAAGGACCCCGCTGCATGGGCCTAGGGACACCCAGAAGGCGTTCCTGTCCTATCCGGGCGAGGAACTTGGAAATGACAACTGTTGACAATTTCCAACAACACATCTGCCTGTCCGTCCCAGAGTCACCTCCCACAGGCATTGCTGAGAGAAGCGTGCAGCTCCCGTCAGGGAACCTGGGGCTCAGATACAGAGCCCCTTCTCAGGACCACCAGAAAGGCCTGGACAACCACACATCAAGGTGACTGGGGGCTTCGGTGTCACCAGACCAAAAAACCAACAAAGAAGAAAGCTACACAGAACACACCTCAGCAAGTGGGGCTCCCTGCAGGGCCAGGTTCCATCCACTCTGTCTTTTCAAGGGGCAGGGTCCAGAAATGCCTGGTGGTGGGTCACGAGGGACCAGCCAGCTGCGCCCCTGGCAGGGGAGCACTGTCCTAGATGCCACGGCAGCTTCAGGGTCCTCAGTCCTGGCACACTGAGCACTCGACAAGCATCCTGCAGACAGCAGCCTACAGGACCACTGCCGCCTTCTACGCTGCAGGGCCACATCAGCCGAGGCTCGAGCCCCACCGAGGCAGGGAACAGGGAACCCTGATCCCACAGAAGCCCAGGCCCCAGCGACTGCAGACATGACACCTCAGGTCACAGAAAACACCAAGGGCACCAGACAGGGGCTCACCCTGCCACTGCCTCTGGGACCCTGAGATGAGCCTCAGAAGCCCAACACACCAGAGGAGCAGCCACGTGGGTGGAAAAGCACCCCTGGCCTCTGACAGGCTGTGGCTGCCCCGGGTAGATAACTTTCACTCACTCGTCCTGTCTCTGGAAGAAGCCCCGGGGCCTCCTGTGTGGGACCCACAGGACTCAGCCTGGAGTCACACTTGGGGCTGTAATTATTCGCAGCAAGGGAGTACACAGCAAGGTCAGCACAGGAAAAAGACACATGGGGCAGGGTCGGGGGAGGTCAGACACAGCTTCCAAGACCCCTCCCAGAATGGTATGAGGGCCAGTCCCAGGAGCACCCACTGCCGGGCAAGCAACAAAATCCCAGGCTCCCCGAAGAGAAAGAAGGTATTCAGCAAAACCCTACTGTTTGCACCAACACTTTAGATGCAGGAAGCCCCTCATCAGGAAACGGAGGGAGCCTTTGCAAAACCCATGACCCCAGGCACCAACCAGTCTTGCCGGCTGGCTGTCTTGGACCACTGTGTGAGCTCTTCCACACAGGAGCCTATCACAGAGGCCTCGAGTCAGAAGACAGGGCCCAGGTACACGACTGCACTGGCCATCCCACCAGGCAAGCACGACCAGGCTGTGACACCACAGAGCTCTGCCCTGAGAGATTCACACACTTGAACCCCACCCTGGTCCCACCGACCCTGGTCCTACCAACCCTGGTCCCACCAGCTCCGGCCCCACCAAGCTCCGCCTGAGAGACTCACACACTCCAACCCAACCCCGGCCGCAACGAGCTGCTTGTACCTTCTACGTTGTTGTAGAAATGACAGGAGTGACTTGCCACCTTCTTTCGACACAAGTGGATCTGAGGGAGGAAGGGCAAAGTGCGAGGCTAGAGCCCGGCCAAGAAAGGAACCGAATCAGCCTCCACCCACCAGGTCCTCCCCTGCAGTCCCCCGGGTGTACTTCAAACCCTATCCCAGAGGGAGCAGATCCTGGGGCTCTGGACACCCAGCAGCACTCGCCTCACGGAATCCTGAACCACAGGAGCCCAGGAACCCACCTGCATGTGGTTACTCTCCTGCTTCTTCACTTCAGGGTGGATGCACAGCTGCTCCCGGGAGCCCAGCACACACACCTTAGGCCTGATGGGAGAGGGCACATGGGTGGGAGACCAGCACACACCCCTCAGGCCTGGTGGGAGAGGGCACATGCGTGGGAGCCCAGCACACCCTCAGGCCTGGTGGGAGAGGGCACGTGGGTCGAGGAGGAGCTGCCTCTAACAGTCACAGAGTGTTCCCACAGCGTGAGCTGTATGAGGACACAAAAGTGCCTCAGTGGCCAGAGGAAGCGAGCATAACTGCAACGTGGCCCAGGCATGGGAGGGAGCAAGAAGACAGTGGGGGGGGCCTGGACAGAGGGTCAAGACTCGACAACTTCCATAGCACCCTGCCATCGGTCCTGCCACAGGAACCAGGACAGAATACCAGACTCTGCTGGGCTCTGACAAGCGGCAGGGCCTCTTCCCACTTCATGTGCAAAGCTGCACTGCAGTCTGGCCCTGCCCCACAACTGCCACAGCACCCACCGCCTGCAAGGAGCTCAAGACACCAGCCCAAAGTCAGCACACAAATGCAAAGCTAATTTCTCACCAGTCACAGGTACTGGAGGCAGCCCAGGCCCCAGCCTACCCCTGGGCACCAGCACACTGCACACTCCTGGGGAGCGTCTAGAAAGACCACCACTCTCCACCACTACACAGCATGGGCTGTGTACCCTGCACCATGCCAAGTTGGGTTCTCTCAATGACCCTGAGACAGGTGTGAACTCGCCTGACCCACCGGTAGGAGGTGTTCCGAAGCTCGCTGATGACCTGGGTGAGTTGTGAGTGGGTCCTGGAGGCATAAATGATCTTTGGGACGTCCGTGTAGCAAGCTGAGCAGATACAAGCAAGTACACAGGTCATGGCTCTCACACAACGTTCTCACGTGCCGAAGGCAGGTGGCATTCAGCTAACTCAACCCTGCAGACAGCCAACAATCTGATACCCCAGATACTCGTTTATCAAAAATGGATGACATGGGTATTCCAGTGCCCTAATTCAGCAGAAAAGCCCAACCCCAGGTTTATACCTAAGATGGCAAGAAATTGTGTGGTACCTACAAAATTCTTGAGCTCTGCTTGAGAGACAGCAGAAGGCCCCGTGGACCACCCCACCCTCAGCACCATCCCTTTCCCACCGTCCCCACAGGAGGCCAAGGGCCTGGGAAGTAGGTCACCTATGGGGTCTCCATCAGCAGCAGCAGCAGCACTGCCCCAGGATGACAAGGCTCGATCTGGGAAAAGCTCCCCTTGCAGCCTCTCGGCAATCTTGCGGGCAGAGATGGTGTCTCGGAGGTGTTCTCGCCAGGCCAGCGTGGTGCACAGGAGGCACAGCGTCTTCCCTGTGCCCGTGGGGCTCTCCAGGATGCCATTCACCTTCTGGAGTTGGGAGCAAGGGTTATGAGGAAGCCAGGAAGAGGTGAGGCTGCACAAGCCACCTGGAGACAAGCCTCGGCAGCCAGTGGGCAGCACTTCCAAGAAGCAGACGGCATTGTCAGGGGGTGAGAGTGCCATGGGGCCATGAAGAGTCCTCGGGACACTTTCCACTCTTGCCCTAAAAGACGTGAAGCAACTCGGCTGCCATCAGCAAACAATTTGCAGAACACTAAGCAAAATACGACAGTATTTTTCAGCCTAAGGAGTAAGATGACTAATTAGGTGTCAAGTCTCAAAATAGGAAATTATTCTGCATTTCTGGATCAAAACATTAACGCTGTGTTATCTGATGTCCTACATACAAGCTCTCAGATGGGAACCTGAGCAGCAAACTCCGGGAGGGGAGGGGTGTGAGCCGGGTACAGGACGGCACCCAGGAGAAGGCAACCTGTGCTGCTGCCACCTCCCTGCAACCCCCAGACTCAAAGACCTTCAAAGTGAGGCTGGCCACCGCTGCCCCTAACAGAAATCCTTCCTCCTGATCCTTGGATGCCAGCCGCTCCTACAGAGGCCCCAAGGCACTCCCAAGTCTGTCACCATCAAGGACGATCATTTTCACCTGTCAGTCTTTTCTCCCACCCCACCTGGAACACCAGCCCTGTTTTTTGTTTTTTTTTGTTTTTTTTTTTTTTGAGACACAGTTTCGCTCTGTCACACAGGCTGGAGTGTAATGGCTGACCTCAACACCAGTCCTTTTTATGACAGAGGCTGCATCTCACACGGAGGGGCCTGGCTGGAGCCGCCCTGGCAGAAGCTCCACCATGCCGACCCACCCACGGTCCTTTACTCAGGGCCTGTGCTCTACCTTCTGCAGACATTCCAGGACCTTGGCCATGTACTCCTGCTGGCATTTGTAGGGCTTGAAAGGGAAGTCTACGGTCACACCATTCAGGACTATCTTGGGCATATCAACCTGTTCTCAGGAGGGCTCAGAGGGTCGCTGAGGGGCAGGCTTATTCGGGTCTGTATGAAAAAACCACTCCGAAGGCCCCAGGGTCTCAGCCACTCCTGGTGATCGATGCGAGAATGTGCCCTGGGACACAACGCTGCTCTCTTCCAAAATCCCTATGGCAAGACCTGGGAAAACAATAAGACCTGTTTGTAGACAGCTTTTGTGGGTACCGGGCTTTCCTGGGCATTTCCAGAAGTCCCTCCTGTGGAGAGGGTCGAGGACAACCCTGCCATACCCCATCACGAGTAGCTGGCGGGGGACGAAGACGCTAAGTGGCTGGGCCTGGCCTTATCCTCCCGCCCCACAACTCCGCCCTTCTCTGGAAGGGACGCCCACAGTGCTGCAACCTCCGCCGCAGTAACTCCGTAACTTCCACAAGAGCCTGAGGGCTGGAGAGGCCAGCGGCACCCCTGCAGGTCAGCACGACGTCAGAGCGGAGGGTCTGAGCCTCCGGCCCTGCCTCTCCAGCCCTCTGCCCTCCTGGTGGTTGGAGGCCATCCCCCAGCCCGCCCGGATGGGCAACCAGGTGCAGCCGAAGCAGCGAAAGAGCGTCCCGGGATGCTAATCCGTGCAGCCCTGGGCAAGGCACTGAACTTCTCTAGGCCTCAGTCCAGTGCGGCCTGGGAACAGGGACTAACAGACTAGACGCGGACACACTGAAAGACGGCCCTTCCCTCCAGTCCCGGCCATGGCCTCCGCCAACGACGAGGCGCCAGCGCACACAGAAAACTACAGGTTCCAGAATGCAGCGCAGCCAACCACCAGCTCGCGGCCCCGAGGGCGGCGCGGGGCCTGCCGGGACCTGTAGTTTCGAAAAACCGTAACGCGCCCCCCCAGCCGCTCAGGTAAAAGAACCACTTGCAGGGTCACTGCGACTCACTGCTCACTTGCCTTCGCGAGCCTTCTAGAACCGGGGGGCCCTCAGGAACTCAACCAACTCCAGTCGAGGGCCGCCACCGCGTGCCCCGCTGTCAGCCAGTTCGGACTTCGCGGGCTGAGGCGCGCAATAGCCGCTGAGCGCGCTGCACTTCCGCCCCCACGTCCGGTCCTCTACTTTGTGCTCCGGTCGGAAACTGTTTCCCCGCGGAGGGGTCCGCCTGCTCTTCGACTCCTTGAGGTCTACGCGGCCCTATGCGCGTTCCTTGCCCGGCTCCCCTGCCCAGTGAACCTCACTTCCGTCGCCCACAGGCAGACATCTGGGGTCCTGCCCGTCTCCTCCCTTGGTGTCATCCCCCACCAGGGTCTCCGTTCCATCACCACCTCCCTAGGCCACGCCATCACCATTGCCCGGAGAGCTGCACGGACCTCCTCCCAGAGGCATTTTCTTCCTTTTCACTGCCTACCGCTTTCCTGAAAATGGAAAAACGGCTGCCCCCGGCCCAGGCCCCGGCTCCTGAGAGCCCTGACCGCCTCCTCTCCTTCCTCTGCCGCTCGGTCTAGCTTCTGCCTGGGTTACTGTCCCCGCACTGGCCCTGGCGGGCCTCCCCGTGTCCCCAGCACCCGGCACCGGCTGACAGCAGGGCGGACTCCAAGAGCGAGGCCCGCACAGTTCTGTGGGGTCAGCCCAGCGTCAGGGCTGTTTGTCTCGGGCGGCCGCAGCCCCCATTTCCCAAAAGGCCCCAGGAGGAAGTCGACGCTGCCTGAGCGCGCACGGCCAGCAGGCAGCGCCTGTTCACTGCTGTTTAACGTTCGCGGTTTCCCACGGGTGGCGCATGCGTCTGCCGCGCGAGCCCACGCTCCTGCTCTAGACGGTGGCGAGCCCACGCTCCTGCTCGAGACGGTGCTCGGCCGAGAAGCCCCCGCCATGGGCCTGTTCTGGTGAAGGAACCGCAGGCTGCCTATCCGGGACTCGGCAGGGAGTTAACGATGAGGAGACGCAGCCACACACGCTTGTGGAAGGGCTTTCAGTGCCGCCCACGCCAGCGGATACAGTTCGGCTGTGTCCCCACCCAAGTCCCCCTCCAACCGTGATGCCCACATGTGGAGGGAGGGCCTGGAGGTGATCGGATCTTGGGGTCAGTTTCCCCCAGGCTGTTCCATGATAGTGAGTGCTAATGAGCTCCCATGGCTTGAAGGTGGCGGGTTCCCCTTCTTCCTCTCTCTCTCTATCTGTCTCTCTCCTGACGCCATGTCAGACCTGGGAACTAGGACTAACAGATTTCGCCTTCTGCCATGATTGTAATTTTCCAGGGGGCTCCCCAGCCATGATCTCAGCTCACTGCAGCTTCCACCTCCCAGGTTCAAGCGATTCTCCCAGCCTGCCGAGTATCTGGGATTACAGGCAGCCACCACCACACCCAGCCAATTTTTGTATTTTTAGTAGAGACAGCATTTCACCATGTTGCCCAGGCTGGTCTGGAACTGACCTCGGGTGATCCACCCGCCTCAGCCTCCCAAAGTACCGGGATTCCAGGCATGCGCCACCGCACCCAGCCAGGTAGTGTCTTAATAGCAGTGTGAGATCAGACAAATGTTTGACACACTTCTCCCTGAACGACCCTGGGATAAGTCCTCTTATTGTCCACACTTAATGTGCGAGGAAGTGAGGCACAGGGTGTTTAGACTGCCCAGAGCCTGTCGAGGAGCCAAGAGTTTTACCTTGTGCTACCACACACCCCATCTCCTGGAGAACAGTGGCCAGAAAAGGCTGTCCCATGGACTGAGCTCAAGTCTGAGTCATCTGCTCCTTGCCAGCTGCTAGAGGAGTGCGCGTTCTGGCCTGGGGCAGTCAGGAACTCCTGTACCCCTGCCCACCTCCTGTAGTTGCTGACATAGCCACAGCTCCAGCAGACAGCAGGTGCCTGACAGATGTATGTTGAATGAGTGTTCTACTGAGGTACAGGGCTCCTCCTAGGAGCCAGGGTTAATTTCAAGAGTGCAGAAGTCTGATAAAAGTCACAGTTTATGAAAAACATGTTTTTAGACAAATTCTTGCTCTTGTTGCCCAGGCTGGAGGGCAATGGTGTGATCTCGGCTCACTGCAACCTCTGCCTCGTGGGTTTGAGTGATCCTCCTGCTTCAGCCTCCTGAGTAGCTGGCATTACAGGCACCTGCCATCACACCTGACTAATTTTTGTATTTTTAGTAGAGACAGGGTTTCACCATGTTGGCCAGGCTGGTCTTAAACTCCTGACCTCAGGTGATCTGCCCACTTCAGCCTCCCAAAGTGCTGGGTTTACAGGTGTGAGCCACCACAACCGGCCAAAACATTTTTTTTAAGACGGAGTCTCACAGTGTTGCCCAGGCTGGAGTGCAGTGGTGCAGTCTCAGCTTACTGCAATCTCTGCCTCCTGGATTCAAGTCATTCTCCTGCCTCAGCCTCCAGAGTAGCTGGGACTATAGGCATGCACCACCACACCCAACTAATTTTTTTGTATTTTTAGTAGAGATGCAGTTTCACCATGTTGGCCAGGAGGGTCTCAATCTCCTGACCTCGTGATCTGCCCATCTCAGCCTCCCAAAGTTCTGGGACTACAAGCATGAGCCACTGTGCCTGGCCAATTTTTTTTTTTGAGACGGAGTCTCTCACTGCCGCCGGGGCTGGAGTGCAGTGGCGTGATCTTGGCTTGCTGCAACCTCCTGCTCCCAGGTTCAAGCAATTCTCCTGCCTCAGCTTCCTGAGTAGCTGGGATTACAGAAGCCCACCACCACACCCAGCTAATTATTTTCTATTTTTTTTATTTTTGAGATGGATTTTCCCTCTTGTTATCCAGGCTGGAGTGCAATGGCACGATCTCAGCCCACCGCAACCTCCGCCTCCTGGGTTCAGGCAATTCTCCTGCCTCAGCCTCCTGAGTAGCTGGGCCACGACACCATGCCCAGCTAATTTTTTGTATTTTTAGTAGAGACGGGGTTTCACCATGTTGACCAGGATGGTCTTGATCTCTTGACCTCGTGATCCACCCACTTCTGCCTCCCAAAATGCTGGGATTACAGGCATGAGCCACTGCGCCCAGCCTAATTTTTTGTATTTTCAGTAGAGATGGCGTTTCACCATGTTGGCCAGGCTGGTCTCGAATGCCTGACCTTGTGATCCACTTACCTCAGCCTCCCAAAGTGCTGGGATTAAGGTGTGAGCCACCTGCCCCCCCCCATTTTTTTTAACTAGCACATGTGCACATGAAAAACGTCTTTGATGTGGTGGGGGCGGCTGCACGGGGCCAGGGGTGGTGGAGGCGTGGCTGGGCCTTGCTGGGGTCCCAGGCTTCACGCTCATGCCGGCCCACCACCCCCAGGATGGGCTTCTCATGATCTGGCACCACAAGACCACCATCTTCCTGGACGCCAGGGAGTCCAGCACATGTTGGAGCTGAAGCACATCCTCAAGTGGCTCCCTGACGAGCAGCACCTGTACAAGGACAACCAAGTCTCGGATGATGGCAAGACACTGAGCAAGTGTGGCTTCACCAGCCAAGCAGCACCGCCACAGGCGCCTGCCACAGTGGGGCTGGCCTTCTGGCAGAGGACACCTGTGAGCCCCTGTGTGCCCAGCCTTTCTCAGCCTGCTGAGCTGCTCGACGTGATGAGACACAGGGACTCAGAGGGCATGCCCATGAAGAAGTGGTGCAGTGAGGGCACCCTAGAGGCCATACCCCCAATTAGAGAGATTTAGAAAAAAGAAAAATAAGAAAAACATCTTTGAAATGCCTGCTCATGCACTTTCTGCAGTTGACCTTGGTGAGAAGTCAAAATCTGCTCAAAGACCTGGTGCTATCTATATTGGGGCAAACAGTCACTACAGCTACTGTGTGTGCCTGTTAGCACACTGACAATCAGTACAGCTATGGTGTGTGTCCGCTAATGCACTGACAGTACAACCATGACCTGTGCCCGCTAGCGTGCTAAGAGTCAGTACAGCTGACAATCAATGCCCCTGCTGTGTGTGTACACTAGCTGTGCACATCTGTCCTCCTGGCACTATGCCAGGGGCTTCTACACACCTGGTCTCTGTGCTCCAGATGAGGACACAGGCTCAGGGAGGGTCTGGCCAGAGTCGAAATGAGTGTGAGGCATTGCCATGCTCTCAGCCTGACTGGGCTGATCCTACCCCACCCACATGAGAAGACTCTGGAGGACCCAGACAGGGGTACTCCTCTTGATCCCTAGCACCTGTGTTCCGGCACCTGGGGCTGGAGTCCATCAGAAGGACGCTGACTGTCTCCAACTGCCACTGTGTGGCCGACAGGGAGGACACGACTGTGTCGTGATGGGCATCCCTGCGCCCTCCCTCCTCCTTCCCAGAGCTGGGTTCCTAGGAATGGCCCAGGGGCTTACTCTGTGTGTATATTAGTTTGATAGAGCTTCATAGCAAATCACCACAAACTCAACAGCTTAGAACAACCCTCAGTCATTACCTCCCAGTTCCTAGTATCCCAAGGCTGAAACCAAGTGGGCTGAGTTCTTGTGTGGAGGCCCTGGAGTCAAACCTGCCTCCACGCGCATTCTCTTCCTGTTGGCAGAACTCACTTCTTTGCTGTTGAGGTCTTGTCTTGCTGGCTGTTGGCTGGGGGCCGGTCTCACATCCTTGCCATGTGGCCTTTCATCTCAACAACAGAGAACCTTCTGCTTTTACCCCTCCAATTTCTTCGACCAGTCAGAGGAAACTGCTTTTAAAGTGCTCCTGTGATGGGTTCAGGGCCCACCTGATGACCCTCCTGTCCTAAGTGCTACCTCTGTGCCACATGGTGTCACATTCTTGGGCATCAAATTCACCAGACTCACAGTCACAGGGATGACACCCACTTGCATGCAGGGCTCGGGACTCTCCAGGCCACCCTGGGGTGTGGTGGCCTTGGGAGCCCCAACACATGCTGGAGCTGACACTTGCCCTGGCTTTCCTATTGCTGAGCCAGCCTCATCGCTCTGCAAGTCTCCCAAGGTTTGCCAGAGTTTTTACTCCTGGCTCCATGACTTAGTTGCTTGTAGGGCAAAGCACTTCTCCCAGCCTGGGCAACTCCATCCCTGCAATGGAATGACACTCTATCAGGCTTTCCCTTGGAGAGTTATGAGGAGAGGGGGAGGCAGGAGAGCTTGCCCCCCACTCACTAAGCACACACAACCCTGGCACCCCACCTCTCCATCTCGGGGGCCACTTCATTATCCCATCTTACACCTGAGAAACAAAGGCCCAGGTGTTGAGACAGTGCCCCTGGCCTTGGCCACATAGTGAGTGAACCTCAGAGCATGGCAGAGGCCACCTCTGTTTCACAGCAGAGCCTTTGTTCTGGCCTCACTCCTCCACTTTGACGCTTCTCTGCTCAGATCCTACCCATCCCTGGGCCCACAGGAGATGCCCCTTGGAGGCCTCCAGGCCAGCATCCACCCTGTGGCTGTGGCATCCTCTCCGATGGCTGCCACAGACCAAACCCTGTTGGCACCAGCCCAGAATTGAGGGGCCTGGGTTCAGGGCTCTGCGGCCCCACCCTGGGGGTGGGACCTCCCCTCCTTCCTGGCCCCTGCCCTGAGGAAGGGGGCTCATCTCCACCTCACTCTCAGGCCTCACAAAGCCAAGTTCAGGAAGCAGCTGTCAGGCTGTGAGCAGTTGTAGGGAGGGCGTCTTGTTGCAGTCGGACTCCTCCTTCCCTCCTCCGCTTTTTCCCTCTCAGGGCTGCGCCCCTTCCCAGCCAGGAGCTGGCTCCTCTGTCTCTTCCTCCCTCCCTGGCTCCTTCCCTCTCTCTCCCTCCCTCCCTCTCTCTCCTCTCTTCCCCGCCTCCCGCCCGCCATCGCTCCCTCCTTCCCTCCCCTCCCCGGCACTGCAGCACTCTCCATCAGCAGCTCCGTCCGCCACCCGCGCCGCTCCAGCCTCCGCAGGCCCCGCCGCCGCCAGCACCATGGCCAGCACCTTGTCGGGTAGGCGCCGGGGCCGTGGGCTTCCTGGGGCCGCGGGGGCCTCGTCTGGCCTCATCCGAGGCCGGGGTCGGCTGCGGACGCCGGTTTCCCTTCTCCAACCCTGCGCATGACGAGCCTGGGCCCGACCCGCCCGAGCTGGGGGCTGCGAGCCCCAAGGCCAAGGGCAGGGGCTGCGGCGCGGTGAGGCGCCGCGCCGGGGGCCGCTCGGGACCGGACGCCGGGCTTGGGGGCGCCTCCCGCCTTGGGGAGCCGCGTGCCAGGAAGGGGGCGCCTGCCGCAGGGTGGCTCCGAGGCCCGGGCTTGGGCTCGTGACCGGGTGGGCGCGCTCGCCTGTGCGGGCGGAGTCCCTGGGGCGTCGGCCACCCTAGATCTGGGTCTCACGGAGCCTTCGCGGGGAGGCGAAGAGAGGGTGGGACCCTCCGCCAAAGCCGCAGTCGGGACGGGCGCTGCCTGCGCCAGGGGAGCGCAGGGCTGGAGCGGGCGCCGAGTGAGGGGGAGGCCAGGCGGAGCCCGAAGTGCGGGGACCGCGCCCTCCCCACACCGCGGCGGCCTCGGGGACCTCCCTTTGCGTTGCCCCGGACCCCTGCTCTGGCCGGAAAAGCCACAGCCCTCTGCGCCTCGGGGCGTGGATGAGGGAGGGGCTGCTCCGTTCCCAAACCCTCTGGGAGGAGAGGGAACCTCCGCCGTCGAAGGCGACGCCCACCCCGCCCCCTGGCCCGTCCCGCGCGGAGCTCACCGGGGGCGCGGGGGAGGATTCTGGACGGAGCTGCCGGCGACCCCGGGAGCGAGGACGCGAGGCCCGCCCCTCCCCGAAACGCTCTGCTGCGCCCAGAGGCCTTAGAACCAGCTTCGTTTCTTTGCTAGGCGTCCAGGAAGACGGGACGAAGGGCCCCCACCTCCTTCCCATCAGCGCCTCTGTCCACGAACCGCACTCCCTCCTACCTCTTCTGCCCTGGGACCGGTGGCTGCAGTCCCTTTCCTTAGCTAACTGGTTCTCTCCCCCGTGCCCGCCCTGACCCCGCCCCTCGGGCCCCACGGGCTTGGGGCGCCAGGTAACTTCAGCACCTGCCAGGAGGGGACCATGTGTGTCACTGACCACATCTCCCCACCTGTCTGGGAGTCGTGTACATCTGTGCTTCCTTCCTCTGCCTCCTCCCGGCCACACCCAGGGATACTGGGGGGCTCTCAGCAGAGGGGACTCCCCTCCTGGCCCTGAGGACAGCTCTGTCCTCTCCGGCTGCCTCCTGTCCTTTCCTGACAGCCTTTCCCTGATGGGGCGTCCCCCTGGGCTGGGTTCCTGGGGCTGAGCTGGGAAGGCGAGGCCATCTCGGCATCTGGCACTTGGCTCATCACACTTTTGTGGGCTCTACTCACATTCTTCTTCTGAACCAGAGTCTGACCTTCTTGAGCTGTGTGGTCTTGTCCAAGCTGCACAACCTCTCAGGACCTGGGTCTCCTTATCTGGATGGAGGTGATGGCACCTCCCCTGGGGCTTGTGCTGAGGCTTCAATATTTCAGGAAAGGTGCTTGGCCACTTCCCTGGTAAGAGATGAATGCTCACCGC